AAATATTCAGACTGAAATTGTTACTAATACGAATACTGATACTAATACTAAGCACAGAACTGAAAATACTAATCCTCTTTTATAAGATCATTACTTTGACCTATGGAGTACGAGCAGTTCTCAAGAGAAGTATACTTATACCAATACTACAGTACTTAATAATAATAGTCTACTCACTTTCGAAATAATGTTTTAGCATAAAGGTGACCATGCCAAACAGTATATATACGAGTGTCTGGCCAAAGGCAATGATCCAGCTGTAGTTCATGATGTTGGTCTTGAAATTATTATAGCTAGATAAAGCTATGATAGTGCCCCAGCCTGATCCGAAGGCTTGCAGTACTACAACTGACATGCAGAGGCCTCCCTCGAACATATGTTCGAAATGCGGTTTCATATAGTGAACAATACCATCCAAGGCGCCCGGTAGAAAGAGGAATCGTGTCATACATATCAGCAGCAAGACCAAAGTGAAGATCACCATATACCGAATCAATTTACCAAACTGAGAAATCAAAACCTCATTAAAATACCATCTACAATAATAACTATCTAATAATTACCTTAGCAGTTTCGGAAAACTTGTAGAATATGAATGTTATTATGGCCCAAACGGCAATTGAGTAGCCCACGATGTGCCAGGACAAACTAGTATTTTGGGACATATGATAGGATTCAGTATCACGGGATCCCTCATAGTGATTTCTATTGGATAGTTAGGATTGGTATTAAGAGTGGTTTAAAAATCTGTTGCCAAGCTTACTGAAAGAATATCGTGGATGGCACATGTATCAAAGTAAATGAATATGATTCATTGTAATTGTCATAATCCGAAGACAGAAGTGTCTCCACAGCTTTTTCCGACATGTTACAAACCTTTAACACAAGTTCAGATATAAATACAAATTTGATTAGGCTATTATAATTTTTCATACTTACAGTTGTTACATTTTTGTCGGGCACAAAGTTCTCACAGCTCCAAGGCAAAGCAGGCCGCAGGGAGTGCACTATGAATATCAAGGGCACTATAGCAAAGATGCCATAGTACAAAAGACTCGCCAAACTTAGTATCAAACTCATATAACCCATTCCTAAAAATCAAAATATTAATTTGAAAATCCAACTCAAAGATATGCTTATCTCACCTTTGAAAAAGGGCGAGACTCGAAAGGAGGAGATGAAGCCGCTGCTAGAGAATTGACCCATAAACGAATGTATGACCATAATGGGCACCAGATAGAGAGCCATATAGATGTAGTAGGGTAACATGCCAAACACTGAAAAAAAGGAATGAAAAGAGTTGATGTAAATGTTAAAACAGTTTTTCCCTGATCTGAATTCTCTTACAAATCTAAACTTTTCGCAAATTGCTTGCCTGAGCAACTTTATGATATAATGAGATATGCTTCACAGATCTAAATATTTTTTATCGTCCAAGCATATCATTTCTATCCGATAAGCTGTTTTAGAAATAAATCTTAAAAAAAAAAAAAAAATTTAATTAAAAAAAAAAAAATCATTATACCCTGATCTCCCATTTGTAATGGATTCAGAGTATAATAAATAAATGCCTATCTATAGAAGCACAACTTTTAATACAGAACAATTGTATATTTATATATATTTGTAAATACACATTTACATATATTACTATTCAGCATATGTCATATATAACAATTAATTACCATAAATTATCAGCTATCATATTTCTCTTCATTGAAAATATTTATACAGCCAAGGCCCTTTTTATCTGAACTATATATGAACATTATATAAGTGCGTGCCAAACTATTGCAAATGCATTTCATTTCAACGCCCCTAAATTTAAATATTATAAATACCATGAATATCCAAAAACACATGCTAATTGAGTTTTGATTATGAAAACCATTTGATTTATTGGGATTATAACTAAAATATTCCATCATAAAAATTTTCATAAGCTATATATACTTTCAACCAATTTCTGATGAATCTCCACAACATGAGTGTAAGCATTTCTCGCCTTGACTTTGTACTCAATTTAATTCCCATCTAATTGTCATAAGCAACAGATTAGGGCCCAGAATTTAATAGAAATGTTTGCTATAGATAAGAATGAAAGTTTCTTGAAAACTGCTTAATCCACGACTGATTATAGCTTGTTTTTGTTAATTACTAACTATCAATAAATAAATGACCTCAAAGAGTTTAAGAACTATAAAAGGTCGCTGAAAGCAAACTATTGCATTCCACGGATTATGTACATCGAATTTCTTGATCTCACCTCATGGCATGTCGAATTGATAAGCTTATCAATATCAGTCTCAACAATTTCAATTGCATTTTTCATTTCATTTAAAACTGACACATACACATATACACACACACATACTTACAGCCCATGTCGAAATAGAACCAATACGAAATAACAAATAGATCCAATTTGAGCGCCAGACCGAAGCAGGCGTAAATGAAATCCGTTGGCTTTTCCCATTTTCCACGATTCGGATCTGGCTTGAATGGCCTGCGGCCGCTCTCGTAGGAAGTTTCGTACACCATTTTATTGGCAGCAGCTGATAGCAGCTATCGTCGAATATTTTTACAATATGTATATATTTATATATATATATATGACTGCACCGAATATAAATTAGCTTTATATAGAAATGGAATCACAGCATCCAATGCATCTCGTATACTACATAAACATAAAAAGAAAACAAACAAAAAAGACAACAAAATGAATATTTAAACAAAATGCGATTAACACACGACGCAATGTCGCTGTGAATTTTAATTAATTTTGTCTATTTCGTTGTCGTTGTTATTTATTCATAGTTTATACTTTTATTATTATTATTTTTATTTTTGTTTTTGGTTGGTTTTTCGCGCGCCCGCTTACTTTAAATTGACGTTCTAATTAGAAGAGACGATGCCGGCAGACTGAATGTGAGGCCTGCGAGAGCATCCGTAGCATCCATCCATGCATTGGATAGATACTTTTTCATTTTTCATTATCAACGCTGGCCGCTGTCTATATAAATACAGCAACAGTTTGCCAAGTTCTCAGCGGCAGCAGCAGCTGACACGTAATACATAGTACATTGAGAGAAATCCAAATGGGCTGAGTAGAAAATTTGATATTTGTATTGAAAACACATCGCGGCGACCGCAGTACATGACATTGCATTGATTAGAAATACGTCGAAGATTTCAATATTTATAATATAAGTATATGTAAATATGTATTTATGTATGTATGTAATCATATACATATATAGAATCAGTTCGCGATTTTTCATACATTTCACAGCAAAAAGTTTTCTGAACGAAATATATGCAATATATGTATATATACAGAAATATTTCAAAATAAACTTTTTGCTCAATTTCAAAATCTTAGCCATTAAAAATAAACAAAAACAAAAACAAATGAGAAAAAAAGTAAACACACTCAAAAATTTTGATTTGTTTATTTTCGAGCAGATTTTGAATTGCAGTGTAAAAAGGCAACAGCCGTCTCTTGTCCATATTTGAATTTTATTTTTTAAATTATTTTTTCCCTGTAAAGCCGATCATGTGCTTTATTTATTACTAATCTGGCGAAACAATCGCATATTGCATTTACATAGAAATATTTATGTATGTATATGTATGTAATGTATACATATACGCACATGAATATTTTATTATGAGTGCCAAGCATACACACATACATATTTGTGCAATGCCAAAAAGTATGCAAGCAATGTAAGTAAATTACATAAAAGCCAGTTGAGCTTGAAAATAACCAAGATGTGATATCATAAAGAATCAACATCTGGATACTATTTAAGAGTGATATCATAAAGAATCAACATCTGGATACTATTTAAGAGTTTTTCCTTTAGGCTTTATAATTATAATCAAGGCGGAGAAGTTGGAAGTTGGAGAACTTAATACCCTTTAAGCACTTAAGAGCAAAACTACTTCCAACACGAAACCTTGAGAAGTGAGTTATCCAATGCTTAGAGCACGTCTTTATGAATATGGAAATTAATTATTAAACCAGGCTCAAGCCAAATGTACTCCAAATGATATTTCTGTGTCTACACATATACAAAACTACTATATACAAAATATTTACTAAACTAAATAAAATTTCAAAATAAGAAAAAGCTTTCATTTAAAATTGTTTAAAAGCTCTTTGCTGTTTTATTCATACAGATATATGTACGTATATCTAACATATATATGCAACTACAAATATCACCAGTTAATTGTTCTCTATAACTAGATTTGGGAAATATCAGTACATTCAATAAAAACGAAATAGCTTTTGGTCTAAAATATTTCAGCTGTTCAATGCACAGAATTGGGTTCAGTTCGACCTGAGCTGCAGGTCCATCGCTTAAGTACAATATCAAAAAAATAAAAAGTAAAAAAATAATGAGTAGGTTAGGCACTATGCAGTTTTGCTAGGCGGCGTTGCCATTGTCAATGACAAGCATTTCGGAGGTGCCCATGATCTCCTCATAGAACCGGCGATTGTCCGCATTCACCGGATGCCAATCGTGCGGAGAGAAGCACTGCCGCATCCGTTTGCGCCAGTTGCCATTGGTCTGGCAGAGTCGGTAGACCATGTAGCCCAGGGCAACCAGATATATCAGACTCTGACTGACCCAAATCAAGGTGTCCTCGACACCGTTCACCGACATCATATAGATAGTCTGCCACTGAAAATACCGGAAGTTGCAGCTCATTTCAATATCAGACTAAATATTTATAGGGTATACCAGAGCGACTCCAAGGAAAAAGGGCACCACGAAGCGTATGCAAGTTATCTTAAAATTCGAGATCGTTTTCCCCAGCATGAATTGGAGATCACATTGGAAGCGCACGCGTCCATAAATCCAAGTAGCCATTACTATTAACACGGCTGAGATGATGATCTGTGTGAATAACGACATGTAGGACAGGGCGCTAACTTGACTAAAGCCCAACTACAAGAAAGAGTTACTGATATTAGCCGTGTGTATTTATAAAGTAGTTTAAAACCCACCCTGGTGCAGAAATAGATGGATATGAGCATCAGCCACAGAACCAGGAATATCGTAATGGTTCTCTTTCTGGGTCGCAGCTGCTCGAACTCATCAAAGATGGCAGTCAAAACCGACATCATTTGAATGATCTGCAATGGGGAAAAAGATATATGTATATCTTGTTACAGATATTGATATAAATATCTATATTACCAATGCACTCAGCTCGGCTAGAAAGATGATGGTAAAGAATAGGAAGGACCAGAGTCGCGGCATTGTTGTAAAGCTGCCCAGAAGATACGCATGGGCCAGGTAAAGGAACTGTATCGTATGCTTCTTCTCCACATGCCACATGGCCACATGCACTAGAGAAGAAATATAAATAAAAACACATATTATACTTATACTAGAATTCATCAGAATCTTGAACTCACATTCAAAATGATCGTTGGCCACATGCCCGCAGATCAAGGCCATCATCGTGATGAGCACATGGGTGATGCACACCCAAATGCTGAGGCGTTCGGAATCGCTGCGAAAGCTATTGTAACTGCCGAGCGTTATGATGCTGCCCCAGCCAGGACCCAGCACCATGCTCGCCTGCAATATGGCCGTGCCTAGTCCGGCCTGGATGGCACTCCAGCTGGGTACTGTGGGATGCAGATACTCAAGGAATGACTGCCAGTTAACCTGCTCGTGGATCACCAGGTAAGCGAAGACAGCCACAAAGAAGCTGAACATTACAACCCCAGCACAGCGCAATGCCTTGCCAATCTGCAAGTTAAGATTAAAGATGAGCTTTGCCCATATGAAATACTATTTTCTGCTTCTACCAATGAGACGTTGCTCAGCAGCAGCACGAGCACAATGCACCAGATGCCCATAATGGCGAGCACCATAGGCCACGATATGGTCCAGGAGCTGGAATCTGATGTAATCGAACCTATCACAGAGCTGAAGAGGAAATTCTTAATACTTATTATGTTAAATTATTATGTAAAATCATATAACTCACTGAAAGAATTCTACAATCGCATGCGGCTTTTGTACCAGCGCCTGTGAATATATAAAACGTATGATTAGCTATATATAATATGAATAAATATTATCCGGGTTGGTTCGAATATATATCATATATTTTTTAATTTACCACGATTTTAACTCATTTTTAATATAGATCTAAAGTTGCCTTTGAGTTCGTAAATTAACTGAAACGTAAATCTTCATTGAAATTAATCACTTTTATCATAATAGAAAATAAGTTTAGAGCTTATCACTTATGACAGTGGATTTGATTTCACTAGCTGACCGAGATCCAATTGTATTACAAAGATGTCGCTTAATTTATTTTCTTTCTCAATTGTCAATCATTACCCATGACACACAGTTCTATCTATTGCTTAGTGCCTAGATGACTTACATCCTCATTATATTCATTGTGCGTGGAACACTCGGGCGTATTCCACGTATTGTTGCAGCTCATCCAGGGCAAAACTTTACGCAGCGAATTGACGGCATAGATGAATGGCACAGCCGCATTGATGCTATAGTAAGTGAGTGTGCCCAGATTAAGCAATAAAATGGAATAACCAATGCCTGAAGTTAGATTCATAATGAGTCAGACATACATAAATAGTTTTAATCATAAGACTTACCCTTGAATATGGGCGAGACACGAAATGCCGAAATGGCGCCCGATGTGGAAAATTGTCCCAAAAAAGTTTGTATTAGAAATATAGGCAGTGAATAAAAACAAACTGACAGCAGATAAGCACTTAGATAGTATTCTGAAAGATATAGAAAAAACAAAAAAGGTTAGAGTAAGGGAATGTCAAATAATAATACAAAATATTATATAGAAAATAGGTTCCTATTTCAAATAAACAAGGATGAGTCACAAGGCTGAGTAAAAGGCGCAAGTCGAGGCTGTAGAGAAAAACATACTTAAATAATATTACTCATACGCCTCGTTGTGCACCGTGAAATCTGTTTTGAAGTGCATTACAACGGCGACGATTATAGTGTTAACTAATTTATTTACAATACATACAAATAAAATCAATTGCAATAGAAAGAAAGACATCTAAAGGAAGTACAATCATGATTTAAGCATACGTCATCTTTCCTCAAGAGTAATAATTTACATTTGCATTTAAGTACTAATAGTAAATGTAAATTCCGGCACTTGATTCAGTTAATGAACAGCTAAATTGCGCATAAAACTTTTGATGTATAATTTATTAGATTTGTGTCCAATTTCATAAGTTATTATTAGCCATGGAAATTAATGTAAGAATATTTATTTTATAAAAGTTAATCACTTAATGGCGATTTTCATAGAATTTAGCTTTTATAATACAAAAGGCAATAATTGCAATCCGTTTTATTAATGGCGAAATTTTTATTACAAATGAAAAGATTATTTCATATATGTATATAAATAAGCATAGTTTATTAATTAAATTTATTTTTGTTTTCATGACTGACTTCCACTGATAACCTCTACAACAAAATTTAATTGAATTCCGCTGATAAGCGTAGGTTGAGCATAAACTGTCATTTAACTGACACCAGAAACGTGAAGGTCAACTAAATAATGGACAAATTGAACTATCCCTCCATGTGGGATCTTTACTTACTCCAACCACCGAAATACAGACCCCAGACCGGGGCATCCGAGAAGACCATCGTGCTGAAGGCGTAACTTGAGCTGGCAAAGTAGAAATCGGCCGATTTGGCCCAACGACCGCGCAGATTGTCGGGTCGAAAGGGCCGCTCCATGGTGTCATAGGAGCTGGTATTCCGTATGGCCAAGCTGTGCACTTGACGGGCGCGAAAAACGCGACGCGCAGGCGATGCACTTCTGCCACTTTCATTTGCATTCCCAATCCCACTTCCATTTCCATTGGCAACTGGTATTGTTGTTGTTGCATYTGCACTGCCATTTTCAGCGATTGCATTGTCACAGTCGGCCAGCAGCATGCATTGGTTCAGCTGCTGCATGGCATCGCCGCAGATGCCCTTCATGCTGCTCGCGAGCTAATCAGCCACCTTGGCAGCGGCTACGTCATTGGCAATTGTCAATTGGCTATTGGCTATTGGCGATTGGCAATGGGCAATTGGCACTATTTGTTCTATTTTCTAAGTTGAAGTGCTGCCTGGCAATACAAAAGCTGATTTGATTGCACTTGGTTCTTGTCCGCACGTAACTTAATTTATTTTATGTTTCAAGTTCATTTCGTTTCGTCACTGCAAACACTTTTCATTATTTTATTCACTTCTTATTCGGCACCCAGTGACCCACTTAGCGGCTTTTGGGTCAGCACAAATTCGTACTCTGCCCGGGAAATAAATTATTTTATGAGAATTTTTGCTTTTAAGATTCTTAAAAGTAACTGCCGTTGCTGTCGCCAGCTAATTGAATGAAGCGCGTTTATTTTCGTTTCGCCAGCTCCCCTCACGCGATTATCGCTCGCTTAATTTGTCAGCACTGTAAACACCCAAACGATTGCGATGCTCGAAGGCAAATGATGCGATTTGTAGTTGCGGTTCCTCCTGCCGCCACTAAGTCAAGCTAAATAATTCGAATGAAAAAAAAAAAAATTGATTTAATTAAATATAAACATATGTGCATGTGTGTGTGTGTGTGTGTGTGTGTGCGTATACAATGTGCACAGTGTGCTAAAGTCCACCGATACACAGTGAGCTGTGAAATGTGTAGTGTAAAGATAACATTAATTAATACGCAATTTAAATAAATTTTAACAATCACAAACAAAAATGGCTAATGATATAAATACATAATAATTATTGAATCAATCAAAATCAATCAAAATGATGTTGAGCCCACTGTGCAATGACATTGCTTGACTTTTGTTGTTGCACTCGCTTTCAGTGTTTCCCCAACAATGTATGCGTGTATGTATATGTTATGTGTATGTATGAGTAATAGTGACAAAAACGTAGCTACGCAGCTTTAATGCACACACACGCACACATCTATATAAAGTCATGCATACGTAAATGCGCACAATAAACGTAAATACTCTATGGCATCTCAATCATTGTACATTGTTTGCGTTAACAAAGAAAGAAAATTCTATTCAAAAGGAAAAACGGAAAAGACTGCAAATCAATTTAGAAACAAAACAAATAGCGCGTATTTGAAATCTGAATGCAATCAATGGCAATCACGGGGGCAATGGACGCCAGCGGGCAGCACGCCAGCTGATTATAGCTGCACTCTGCACTCTCCCTTTCGCTCTTGTTTGCTCTGTACACACTTGACATTCGCTGCTCGCACACAAAATTCGCCATGCGAGAGAGAACGAAATGAATAGCGTCAAGTCGGCGCAGCGCTCGTTTCGCTCAGCTGAAATGCTTTTTTCAACAAGTTAATTTTGTAACAAAAACTAGCAGGCAAATGAGCAAGCATACGTAGTGTAATGTGGGCGAGAGTAGGATAGCGCGTAAAATGAGCAAGCAATGTGCGGTGAATGCATGAGAGAGCGTGTGTGAGGGAGAGCGGTAGGGAGAGAGCAGATGTAAATATTTTTGTTTTTGTTTGGCTTTTATTTTGGTGGTTGTTTTCGGATCGCTCATTCATACGCTCACACATATCAGCTGTTTTTTGTTTTGAATGGCAATAAAGCATGTGTGCTCATGGGCGTGAATTGGGCAGGTATGGGGGAGCCACACACACGATGACGTCAATTAGCATAAGCATGATTGTATATATGATTTTATTGAACAAACGGTAGAATTGTATTTGCGCAAACACAAATCGTTAGCATGTGCAAATTAGCAAAATCCAAATGAAATTATATAGCTTTAACAAACAAAACAAAATGGAAACATTGAAATTTCGCAAATGTGTAGACAACAAAGAAATAATGGCCAAGAATGTGAGCAAATATGTACTCAAGTGTGTATAAAAGTAATGTATACAGTATATTATGCATCAAGAGCCATCAAGTAGCTGCCGTTGAGTTGTTTGCCAGGCCTTAGACTATTAAGATTATCATTACATTATCGCCCGGCTATTATTATCACAGTGCAATGCAATCGCTTCTAATCAAGTGTCACACTTTCACACAACAACAGCAATCTGTGCACTTTACCGTTATTGCATTTGCTGGCCGGCAACAATTTGCACTATACGCGAACCGTTAGCATCCCCTTTCATGCCCATCAGCAGCGTGAATCTGCCAAATCGATTGACGTTCCCAATTGACGCCGTTTCCCGACTTTCGTTTGCGACAAGCGTTGCCAGCGCGTCTTTGCCGACGACTAACGGCCGACCGACTCGCCAGGCCACACCGGGCCCAGAGTCAGCGCGATTTGGCCCAACAGCCAGAGAGTCGCCGTCGAACGAATCCAAATACCGAATCCGATTCCAACTTCGAGTCATTTCACCAGCCACGAACACTGGTTGCTCTTATCTCTATCGATGTGTGTTGTTTATTTTTTTCCCATCTTTCTTTCTGTCTTTTTGCCATGTATGTGATTTTGTTTTCTCTCTTTCCTACAGAGACATTGCAATGGGCGTAAGAGCGTAAAAACATCGTATATGAATACCCTGTACATACTCAAAATATTAAAATATGTAATATATAGCTATTATCTTTTGCAAAAACTTTATAATATATATTTAAAAATTCTGAAAAAAGTGCAGTTCTATGAACTAAAAAGAAAATAAAATTCGAAATATGTTTAAACATAGTATACTTAATTTGCATAAGTGAAGTGTACGTGCGTAAATCAAATAAGGAAACTAAAAAAGAAATATGAATATAGTGAGTTTTTTGTAAATAGTTTTGCCAAGCTGAAGCTCACACCTCATTGCTACTTGCAATAGGCCAACAAGAAAGTGCAATAGCCAATTCGTTTAAGCCATCGTTTGAACTGCAGATCACTTAGCTAGCAAAAAGGCTGTAGGAAATTTTCTAACCATTTTCAGGCACTCTACCCCAATAAGGTGAGATGCAGTTTTGTGGCTGCTGACTATCGCATTTGCCACACTCGATGATTGTGCCAACAACACGATTGACTCTTGGCCGGGGGGCCACTGCAATAAATCAATGCAGTGGCGCATTTTTCAATCGCCTTCGTCGTGCCGCCCCAAACCCGGCCATTGAGCAGCAGCCAAATGCGGCAAACAACAGCGAAAACAAACGCGAAACTTTGTACACCCAGCCATATATATATAATATATATTGTATATGCTATTCAAGCTGCGGATCTACTTTCAGGCAAATCACGCGTCATTCACAAGAGCGTCGAGTGTTCACAGCAAACAGTTCAAATTTAATGCGAATACTTGTTCTGGCAAGGCGTTGGAGAATAGTGAAAGGGGGAGAGCAGGGCAAATGGAGGGACGAATCGTTGGGGTTTTAGACACTGCGGTTGCAATTACAGTGTGTACTGCAAATAAGCAACACGCCCATGCACATAAACATTGTACGCCTGAACTTGGCATTAACTTGGCCATAACTGCGGGGTTTTTCACAAAATTTCACGATGTGATGTGGATATACATATATGTATGTATGTATGTGGGTGTGCTGAAGAATTCAATATTCACTTGCATCGAAATTCCATTGGACTTCGCTCTAAAATATCATAGAGAAAGAAAAATGTTTTACTTAACTTAGATAATTTCTTAATTTACAGTTAACGGCGACACGTTTTAAGCTTAGATAATTGCAACAGAACCGCTCATTCGCGTAATTAAAGTCAAGAACTTTGGTCAAAGCAACTGACTAACTAAATTGAATGACTATACAAATTCCAAAACTAGAACCTCTAATCAAACCAATAAATGCAATCAATATTGCACCAGTTCAGTTCAGCTTACAAACGTTTTCTATGAACCTTGAGCAACTTTGTGAGTAATATTAATCATACAATCATATAATATATATGCAATATATTATAGACACATATATAAGCTGTAAAATCGATTTTGAACTAAATAACCAGCTGAATTATACCACATATAACGAAGAATGGATATCCGCCAATATTATCTACCCATGCTTCAGTCTGAGATTATATATGCAAAAGCTCGCTTTGTTTGCTGCTATCATAAACTAAAATCCTTAAGTCTTTTATACACCTATATGTATAAATAAAATATCAGTAAATAAGCAGTTCAAAAAAGGAATAAAAATAATAAATTATTTAAACTTTTTTACATAGATTTATTGTCTAGGAAGAAAGTCGTTTTATGGTATTTGTTACGAAAATGGCTTTTGAATAAATATAGTTGCGAGTTCGAAAGGGAAATTTAGGTGGATGGTGCGAGTACCCTGTTTATAAGCATGCAAATATTTACAACATTTATCAAATTAACATATTCAAGTCCAGTACAAGTTCCAGGCAGAGTGCCGCAAGGCAGGTGGTTAGCAAACATTCTCGGATTGGCGCTTAGAGGGTGCCGGGGGCGGGGGCAGCATTGATCGAGGCAACCGACTGAATGTGTCCAGCCAGAGGAGCAGTGTGAACGGCGCCACGGGTCTGAGCGGTGTAGACTCCCTCGCGGGCAACGGCACCGACAACCACGGCGGGACCAGGACCGGCCACCAGAGCGGGGCCAGGACCAGCAATCACAGCGGAACCGTGGGCAGCCAGCACTGGACCGGGTGCAGCAAGCACGGTGGGTGCTGCTGGTGGCCAGGAGGCGACGGAGACGGCGGCGGGCCAGTTGGCAGCAGGCACACCCCAAGGCGAGGCCAGCACGGGATTGGAGACGGCCGTATAGGAGAGACCGTTACCAGCCAGCTGGGAGATCAACGGAATCACCGAAGACTGCACGCCCATGGACAGGGCCAGGGTGAAGACGACAGCGATGGCGAACTGCAGGCGAAACATAAATATCTGTTAGGCGAGTCCTCGAAAGGATTGCGATCCTTCCAATACTCACTTTCATTTTGCTAATTGGTTTTTTGCTTGGTTGCGCTCGGCTTGAACTCTTGTTCTGAACTGATCTCTTGGCAGAACCTGTGGCCAGTTTTATAGCAGAGCAAACCAGCTTCAGACCCCAACGGATCCAACAACAATGGTCAGCAAAAGTTCAGCCAAGTGAGAGTTCAACGACAACTACAACTCGGCCACAATATACATACACACATACATATATATTATATATTATATATATCTTTTGCATACATGTGATTACAGCTAATGACATGCCACATGCAGGCGTTCACATGTTTCACACTCAATACTCAAGAGTCAAGACTCAAGAGTCGAGTCTGATCGATCATAGCCAAACGATCTTGGCCATGTTCACAAATGCATTGCAGCCAAGCGAGACCCAACCCACTTTTCAGCTGCAGTTCCGGTTAATCTATTTTCACTCGCGTCAGCATTTATTTATTATAATTTTTTCAATATTTTTTCCTATAATTACTTAATTGTTATTGTATTTCATTAGCATATAATGTGACTAGCTTGTGCTCCAATTATGGTTCGTTTCATATCCTGATTTGGGCAAGGCAATAGATCTAATTGATTTACAAGCCGATTGCTCACAGATGATATCTTTATAATATGATATGAAATGCAACCGATTTTGAAAGTAAAATACCCTATGAAAATATAATGAAGGATTATGCGAGTAAAGCTAAGCTGGAACTTAATTTAAAATATATTTTTAAAAAATTCCGCAAATGAATATATATATTCATAACTATATTCATAGCCAATCATATGGCGCTCGTATGGCTGATGCAAGTTTTAAATTTATTGCATTTAGCAAACAAAAAATTATTAATTGGCATTATAAATCAAAAATGTATGAAAAGTAAATGAAAATGAATGAACAATACCTAAGAACGATACACTAATCGTATAGTATATCTATTATACTAGAGATACTCTATCAAATTGAGTCCTGGTCTCTTACAATACATACAGGATAATATAATGTACTCTAGAGCTACAGTCTTAAGCCAGGCTTCACTTTCTAATGCACCTCGCGACATACCCAAGTTATTCAGTGCGCTCTGAGCTCCTTGCTTCCTTTTAATTATGCCGCCCTAGATAGCCAAATGGAGCGTGTTCAAATGGACTTTATATAACACTCCAGAGCACTCCCCTGTCTTTAAATATATGTATCATTTAAATGCGTGGGTGCTATAGACAGTCAGAGACGTACAGCCGGATTCCATGGATCCGCCCACGCCACACAGCCATTAGGTGAAACAATTAAATCGCAGCACAAGAAAAAAAAGTCGATTCAATTATGCAAATCGAAAACAATTCGATTTGGATGCAAAAAAAAAGGCAAAAAAAAACTATATGAAGCTGACGAAAATAGTTTGAAACCTTGCGAATTGCAGCCGCATTGCAAACCTGTTTGAAGGCGGCAAAAGACGCCAAGTGAAAAAAAAGCCAAAACAAATTCAAAGCAAACCAGCCAGGTGTCGTTGCACTAAGCGCATTTTCTTTGAGCCAAGCTCAAAGTTTCGGTTAGCAAACAAACAAAATTATTAGCCAACACYAAAAGAGTTCAAGTTGAGATCTTTGTGCTGATAAGCTGTAATTAGCTGTGGCTATAATTTATCGTTCTATATAGTATCAACTGCAACCACACAAATACACTCATCTATCTATTATTATGATAGATCGATGGGGTCTCGCCCATGCACAGGTGCTGGCTGTTACCAATGCTGGGCTGTAATTAGCTTTAAACGTATGCATAATTAAGCATACGCCCTGTATTCACAATTGAAATCGCGTTCAATTAGCTCGGCTCAAAGCTATAAAAAAAATACCTAACGTCCAAATATATTAAACTAAACTATTAAGTCTATAGCTGCTGAAAGCACTTAAGCCCAGATACAAAGACAACTTTGATCTCGACATTCTTTTGCGATATGCAATCAATTAAGCAATCTGTAATTTTTCAAGGTTACATCAGCGTGCACACAGCCCAAGGTCGTCTCACATATCAATTTGTTTATTAATTTAGATACATGGCTAAGGCTAATTTAATGACTACTTTTCCTTTCCTTTACTTAGTCACATTATAATTGCCTTCTATTAAGCAGGTGCTCGAAAGGGGCTGGGCTCTCTTTGCGCCCTGGAGAAATAACAGTTACCAGCAGTGGCCAACTTAATAAGCTTAAAAGGTGCTTTGTAACGCAGCTAACTTAATAGGCTGACAGCTTAGCGCGTCCAACTTGATAGGGAAGAGTTGGTGATGAGGAATTTCTGTATTGTTGACGACTAGCTGAAAATGTTTTTTTTTTATCAATAAAAGACAATACATCTGTTTTACCAAAGTATCTTATTGATTTCATAGAATAAACCGTTATTGGAGACTCTAAAGTGTCTTGGAGCTAACACATATTTTCCGTCAAAAACATTCTTTTATTCAACTGTATTATATATACATAGGTATATAGGTAATATGATAATGCTGACAATATAGAATCTGAAATTATATAGATTTGAAGGTATAACAAAGTCTGATCATCAATTTTAGAGAAAGTAGTATAATATAGAAATTAAATTATCTCAGCATATCAATAAACATTCTAGAATATTATGTCGTATAATTCAAATAGACATTTAATGAGCACAAGATATTATAAATGATCTCGCGTCATATAACATTCGAGAATATTATACGACAATATTATTATTGATACACATAAACTCTAATGAGCAGGGCTCTTTTCTTTAAACATCTATATAATAGAATAGATGTCATTTCCATCCAGAATTTCAATTTTTTAAAAAGTTCTTGAAATAAAACGGCATAGAATCTACGCATAAATAAAAACGTTGAATGAGTTTATTTAAAACGTTTTTCGTCAATCTTACAATTGTTGCAAATTACTTAAGTATGTTTATATGTATGTATGTATGTATATATATATGTAAAATATATACACTGAATATGTACAGAATTGTTTTTGTAGTGTTGCAAAGAAATAGAATAGCGGATCGAGTGTGATAGATAGAAAGTATATTGTTGCAATAGATAGATAGAAAGATAGATAGATTGWAGAAGCATAAGAGGAATAGTCGGATAGGCAGGTGGTACGTAAAGTTCTCAAGTAATAAGAAATTAACATGCTGTTATTTGTTGGTTGTAGTTGTTGTAATTGCAGTTGTTGGACTTATTTGCTGAACACAGATTTAACTCAAATGTGCGCGTGAGTGCGAGTGTGTTTCAGTTGAAGAACCGAGTGGTTCTCGGATTCGCAAACGGGACTAAGAGCGGTGTGCTTAATAACTAATGGGTGGCTGTGTTGTGGTGGTGGTGGTAGAGTATCCGAGTAGAGAGTCGTTGAAATCGTGAAAAGAAGTGGATAGCGTAAAGTGAGAGAGAGACAACAACTGGTTGCGCCTGCTTCGCACGGTTCACTCCCGACTGTTGTCCTGCCCCGCCTGCCGCTCACTTCATTTGGCATGTTGTGGGTGTTTTTGGCAGCATTTACAGAGTACCGGGAGCAGGTGCCACATTCACGGAGGTGGCAGAGTTGATGTGACCGGCAAGGGGAGCGGTGTGGATGGCACCACGAGTCTTGGCAACATAGACACCCTCAGGGCCATGGGGACCCAGGGCAGCGGGTCCAGGACCCTGAGCTAGGGCAATGCCGGGAATACCAGCGTTCCAGCCGAGAGGACCAAGACCCCAGGGAGCGCTGGCCTGGACGGCAACGGATGCTGGGCCGGCCCAGCCGTTGTTCCATGCACCATTCCAGGCACCGTTCCAGGCACCATTCCAGGCACCATTCCAGGCACCGCCCCACAGAGCGGGACTGCCATGGGCCACCGAGTTCACATAGGAGACACCTGGCGCAATCGCGGCCCACGAAGCCTGAGCACCGGCGACGGCGCACACGAACATGACTACGGCAATGGCGAACTGTAAGTAGAGAAAGAAAGAGAGAGAGAGAGATGGAGAGAAGGTGAGAGGGTTTGGGATCCAAGATTAGAACAGCGTTAAATAGATCTTGGGCCAACCAGAGACCAAGTCTCTTACCTTCATGTTGTTGTTGAGGGGTTTTGTGAAGAAGTTGAAGGAGTAGAAGGAAGACTTGTTGATTGCTCAGCGAACGAGTTGATTCTGATTTCGACTACCAAATTGTGGTAACTTTTATACTAAAAAATTGGCGCGGACTTCGCACAGCAAATGCATTTCCAGCAGCAGCACAAAAAGCAACAACACTGAACTAAACAAAACAACAAAAAACCTGCCCCACACAAAAGTAACAGCAACAACAAATGCACTCAAGCAAATATACATATATCAAATTCGAATAAACACACAAAAACTAGACTCAAAACAACGACGACGACGCCCAAGCCAAAGGCTGGCACAAGCCAATGGCTGAGAGGCTCAGCTGGCGTCGCTGTCGCAGAATTGGAGCAGATCTGTCTAAGTGCTCTGCCCATGTAGCTGGTCTAAGCCTTTCACTGCCCAGCTGCGCAGTCGGAGTCGTCGTCGTCGCCGTCGCCGTTGACGTCGGCGTCAAATCGTCCGGCTGCGATCTGCTGGGTGGTGTCGGCGTCTCTCTATGGAGAATCTAGTGGTGGGTCAGGCGAGTGCGGGCGGGGCCGCATTGTTGCGCAAATTGCAATAAGCAAGAATTTAGAGCCGAAGGAAATATACAAGCACACGTTCACACACGTACACACAAACACATACTCAAAACTATCGGCCATAGCAATCGAAAACGCGAAAATTGCAATAACAACACCAACAACAAACGAAATTATATTGATAAAACCACAAACACATTTAAAAGCCATAAGCAAACGCTTACGGCTATGTGCACCCGCAATCCGCCAGCCTCACCTTCACCCTCTGCTGCCCATGCGCCATGCTCCACAATATTGTTTACTTGGGTGCATACAAAACATAGTTATAAGCTGCTGCTATTGTGATTGTCAGAATATTTTTAATTATATATCACTTGGCGAACTCCCATAAAAAAAACTCAAATGGTCGCGTGCTTGCACTGCAAGAAAACAGTTAACACAATAAAAGAAAAATAGCGCCATTTTTCAACACAAGAAGTGCCCGTACTGGTGACGTCACAAGGAGCACAAGTGACAGACAAAGCGCGTCAGCGATAGTTCGATAACTTACGACTGTTAAGCTCGATAGGTAGCACAGGCCATCTCTATTTGTTGTCCTGCCGATTTTTGCTGCTGTAACTGAAATGCATTTGATTATTATTGAATATTAAATTGAATTGGAATTGAATTTTTCTCAGTGCTGTGCACAATTGCATTTCGCTGATTCCAAAGTAGGAAGGCATGTGCGCGGGCAACGCCCAAAAATAAATATAATCAAACGCTGTCAGCATTGGCAAACAATAAAAATGCAAATAAAATAAATAGAAAATCAAATTGAACTGAACTACTTTTGCCATATTTGGAAGCATTGGCAAAGGCTTTCATACATATGTACATATGTACGTTCTGCGCATGGTCCAAGCATTCATTCAACTTGAAATTGACATAAGATGCAAATCACATTTAACACGGACCCCGCTCATTTAACGAGCAGGTCAAAGAGTCAAAGACAATTTTAAGCACCATGTTAATACACACGACCAGAACCATTTACAGACAGCTGCACGCTTTTGACAGCTACGAAAATAAGTAGAGGAAAATGGACAACCGGCATTAATCACATTTAATGTGATTATCCACAGGGCAATTGGAATGCAATCAACTTGCGCCATTACAGCGAATCCAATAAGAACCTTAACTTTAATATTCATAAACCGAGCAAATTAAATCGGAATTCATTTTTATGATTTAAGCCGTTTAAATGGTAATCAAGCGATAACTGTTTCTTATTTTTCTATACAAGCAAATGATGCAATTTCTGGGCGTATTTTATTTTTTAAGTTTTAGTTTAGCCGTTGAAGATTTCATCAAATTTTGTATCTGTACTACTTTGCCCTATACATGTGCCATTCAGGTCCATTGTTTCGTGGCATAAATTGTGTTTGGCAAAACGGTGGAGATTTAAGCCGCTTGGCTAATAACTATCTTGTCTGCATTGTAATGATCGGTCAGTTATCGCCACAAAATCGACTAATTGGAGCTGCCTGCCTGGCTCTATTCACGAAACTTGTAAGGCAAGCACCAGGCTAGCTAGCGTGAACGATTATGCAAATTTGCCAATAATTTTTATACATTGAATTGCAGGTTTTGTTCTTGAAGCTGGACATGCCCAAAAACAAGTTGCTTTTGACTGGTGTGAGTGTCAGACTTTTGCTGACTTTTATATTTTTAATACCTAATATGCAAAACACTTTTCAACTTAATTGCTTTTCATAATTATTGCTAAAGAATTTTTACTTAAATTAAGTGTATTTTTTAAACATATCTATAATGGCAAATATCACATCGAATTTCTTGATTAATCTAATAATATTCATTTTTTATTTAAAATAATGAATGCTTTACGAGCTGCCGGATCATTAATTGCTATGGATATTAGTTTTCAAGCATTTTCGTGCACGGAATTCCGAGTCAACTCTTAGTTATTGGAGATATTTTTAAATCCATTCTTCTTCTTCTTCAATTTTATCTACCCCATAAAAAATATACCTTATCCGAATTTATTTTGTTTTTTTTTTTCAATTGTTACCGATATCGAACTATTGAACTAGCCGATAACTATCATTTGTCACGTTTACAAATTGCCATCGATATTTTGTTCAAACACTTTTCTGTTTCATTCCCACTATCCTTGACTACATTGTCAGCTTTAGCTTGCTTCAGCTTCAGTTCACACAGAAACTGCTTTCAAACGTGCGTCAAATCGAAACATTTTTAAACTTTTCCAACTTTTTTACTGATACTCACGAATTACATAAAATATGGCTGGTCTAGTGGCAAAAACCAAAGCTTTAATAACCAGTGAGTAGTCTAAGAAATTTCAATATAAGTAAGTTGATGCTCATCCAATTCAATTGCAGCCGCTAAGGCTCAGGCTCGTCCGATGTTTGATGAGTTCATGCGTTATGCCAAGGTGGAGCTGGCGCCGCCAACTCCCGCAGACTTCAAAGAGCTGCGTGGCGCAGCCGAGAAGGCCAAGAAGGCTAAAGGTGGCCTGGGCAAGAAGACCGTCTCAGAGGTCTGGCTAGGCGCCTTGGTCTCTTTCGAGGTGATCAGCTGGTTCTTCATGGGCGAGGTCATTGGACGTCGTCACTTTGTTGGCTACAAAGTCTAAGTGAAATGGAACTACACCATGTCATCGTGTTTCATTAATTCGTTACATTACACATATATATTTCAATTGTCTCAAGCATCAAATAAAACTGCAGCATTCACGGATCATAGGTTCCTCCATTTACTATGACTAAAGGCCACACCTCGCATTCCATAATGCAAATCGCAGCTGTTGTGGCATTGATCTTGGACACGGCTGCTCAAATGCTACGTGACGTGCAGCCCGCAGGAGGCGTTCAAGCATCGAGGCGTTTGACCAGCTGCTCTGGCATAAATCAGACTGACGCCGGCGCAATTGCATAATTCGAAACAATGCACATGTCGCACTACAGCAACAAAAACAACAACAACTCACACTCACAGTGGTTGGCCCAATTTTTATGGCATTTGAATGGCTCTTGCCCTGCCCCAAAACAAGTGCCGCTTGACGCAATCTCGAGCCTCGATTGCATCATGCACCAAGTCCTTATCAACAAATATTTCAGTTTTCTAACAGTGTAACGCCCACTTATGGTACGAGCCGCAGATAAATGCGAATTCCGCATTAAAATCGTATAAACTAATTATGGCCCCATTCTCTGGGGTCTGGGGTCTGGGCTCTGGCTCTGACTCTGGCACTGGCGCTTGCTCTAGCCTGTACAACAATGCTCTAGCCACGCTTCAATTCAATTTAGGAACCTGATCAACGATTTGGCCGTTGTTGTTGTTGTTTTTGGGGCCTGCAACATATTTGGCAACTGTGCAAAATTTGCTGCCTGGTTGACTGCAACGCCTTCTACACCCACGCCCCCTAAACACCTAACCTAGGCTAAACACGCTGCTCATTATTTCATTTAGTTTGCGTTTTTTGTTGTTTTTCTTTTTGTCATACTCTACTCATGCGCAAATGATTTATCGAAGTATATTTGTGCATGGTTTCATAGAGAATAATTATTAATAATAATTTTTATACCCTGAACCCGTTATATCTATAATTTCTAAAACAATTGAAACTGCATATTTAATAAATAGGGCTAAGGCATTCAGGACTTAAGCTTTTTTGTTTAATATTTAATAATTGTAATACCAATTAACTACTAACTAACTTACTTAACTTAAGATACCAATAATTCCCATTACGAATAATAAGCATTATATATTATAAAATGGCATTCAAACCAATTGAAATACTTGAAGTACATAATATATAATATACAAAATTGATAAGCAAAATTGATTATATATAAGTGTAATCAAGAACTTCTGAGAAAACAATTTCATCATCTAAATAATTTCGAGTCAGCATAAATATTTAAAAACATATATACTTTTTAATTAAGCAGAACAATTTAAGTGGAATTTAATTTTAGATCACACTATATAACAGTGCGATTTATATTATTGTAATAACCCCTATGAGCCCATAGAATAACCACTAGACATTACCTTTAACAATTCGTTTATTAATTCAGTTGAAATAAATATTTATTTACTTATAAATTTTTATGTAAGTATAAGTTGTAGGTCGCATATACTCCATTATTATTATTATTCTTTTTTTTTTTTTGTCTTTCTATTAGTTTTATTATTTACAAATAATTGAATTAAACTAACATTCGACTTGATTAATGGAATTCAAGTGGGTGGCCTCCGAAAACTTTAAAGCTGGCGAGCCTATTGCAGCAATTGTTATTAAGTTTGAAATATATCTTACTAATAGATATATGTACATGTATGTATGTGTATATATGGCTATTGATTATCTTTGCTTTGTAACTGCATAATCAATCTCTTGCCGTAATTAATCCAATTACAATTACATGTGATAGTAAGCAGAGCTAATGGCCATTAAAAGCTAACGCAATAATTAACCACTTTAGAAGTCAGACCCACTTGAGAACTGTCACAACCGAGCAGAAAAGTATCACGGGTCCGCGTCTTGTGTTTAAGTATTATTTATTTAACACGTTCTATGGTTAGTTTTGAGTGCTTATGACATGCCTCCGCCTTGAAAGTTGAAGTGCTTTACGCTTCAACAACCACAGAGTACGTTTCACGGGATGCCAAGTGCCAATTGCCTATTGCCAATTCACTAGATAAGACCATACGCAACGGAGGTGCGGGGAAACTGCTTGGGGAAATGTGAAATAGGCATTTGATTTGCAAACAGAACTCGTTTTTGCATGTAAAGGAATTTAGGAATTTCTAAACTATTTAGACAGGTAGTCAGTAGTTAGTAGTTAGTAGTTAGTAGTTAGTAGTTAGTAGGAGTCATTGTTGATTGATTTATTATATGGAAAATGGCAGATAAAAAGCTTTTTAAGTATAGTTCGTTCAAATTATATCATAATAATAACTTGAATGAAAAGTGTAACTATAATTGGTATTAGGATTTCAATTATGATAATCAGATGATTCTTTCGTGGAAACTGGGTGTAGAAAATATATTATTGATTAAGTCAGAATAGGTAGAAGTCGCAGAAAAATATGCTGTGTACAGTTGGAGCAAGAGAGAAAGATAGAAGAGATTTGTTAATGAATAAGCCGCAATAGTAACGGCAGTGCAATATAAATAAGGCCTTAGAGTAATACATATAATATATATATCTTAATCATTCCATTCAACAAACAATTAATTTAAAAATAGTCTAAAGCTGTCGAAATTTAATTATCCATTTATCTAACCTGACCTCAAATCCAATCAATACAAGTAAACGCTAAAATTTTGGAAGTTAAATAAGATCTTTGACTTCCATACAAAATACAATACATACAAAAACCAATATTAAGTGCTGCACTAAATTTTTGGAGAATGATTGCACTTATTTCATCACCCTATATCAACACCCTATAATCTCTCTCAAAAATTCGACTAATAAAATGCAAACACTATTAAAGCCAATTACAAAGTCAAACCTCTGCAAACTTCACTAAGATCATTTAGTCCATTAACCTTATTCGGTAATTTATAGCATCGCACCCACATGCGATCATACATAAAAAACATAAGCGCAACAGCGAAATAGCAATAACCACAGCAGCAACAGCAACAACAACAACAACAAGCGCTACAAACAAAGCCCAAGTCACAAACAAGATCGACAAACCGGCAGCAAAAACCAAATTGCACGGGCGGCGCATGCCAAATGCGTTGTTGGCCCAAATGCCAGACTTGGCCTTGGCTCAAGCTGCCGTTGAAGTGATGCTGAATGCAGTTGCAGTTGCTGTTACTGTCGCGCATTTAGTGGGCCAAAAGCAGCTGCGTGAAAAATAGAAACCAGTAAAGTGCGTTCGTGCGTCCAATGAACCGACAAGCCGACAAACAGGAAGCGTTTCGAGTGTAACCGAAAAGCTGCGTAAACTTGAACTTGGACGCATAGAAGGAAATTTGTCACACACATACACACACACAGCGACTGCGTCATGCGTTCGTTCTGCGTGCACGCGTAGCATAGGGAAGCAAAAAGCGAAAAAGCAACAACAACGACAAGAAAAACTGAGCAAAAAAGTGAATGGCAACTGGCCGGGTAAGATTTATGGGCAATTGCCATTGGGCGCGGCTGCCAACATGACATGGTAACAACAACAGCGTCGAATGCTACTGCGTGTGAGCTGGAACTAGCTGTGACTGCAGCGGGAACTGGAACTGAAACTGTAACTGCAACAACTCTTAACGGGGAACCTGTGGGCGTCGATTGACAATTGCAGACACACGTTCAGCATTTGACACTTTTATTGAAGCGGCCATTTAGCGCTTAAAGCTTATCAGGCGCTGCCTAAATGCGATTTCGTAACACTGGAGGGATGTCTGGAAGCTGTGCACATCGAGCGCGAGCACATTCACCAAAAATTCAACACATAACTGTAAACAGTAGGTGGAGCGAGGGGCGACAAGGCAATGTAGGTGGTGTTAAGGCGGATCTGAGGTCCCCGCTTGCATACAATTATTTAAGCTGGCCGTATCAAGCTTTGCTGTTGTTTATTTTTATTTTATTTATTTATTTATTTTTTTTTTACATTACGTGAATTTTTCTATTAATAATTGCGAGTGCCGTTGATCAAGGCAAACAACCCCTGCTCCACTTAAGCCAAACTCTCGTTTTCAGTTGCTGTAACAGCGACAACAACAACAGCAACAACAGCTCGCAGAGCGGCAGTTGGCAACAAGTTGGCCAGATGTGTGGCCCCTGACGCAGTCGCAGTCGCAGGCGTAACTGCAACTGAAAAATGATAGTAGAGTTTAGTCAACGCCCCCTGAAGCGGTTCCATTAGTTGATTGACGTATATATATGATTAATTGTAGTGCAGCTGGGAAATGATTAGATACGCTTTCATTCTTTCTAAATGAGTTATCTGCGCACATAAATTTCAATTTCTCTGTCATACACAAACAAAATTGCATTGCTATTATAAAAAGAAATACAAATTTTTTATATATAATCATAAACAAATCTAAACTTTCTTACATTTAAAATTCAAACAACCGCCAAAGTAATATCGAACAGCCACCACAATTTATCGACAGCTGTACACCATTCTGTTAACAAATACTCATTCTGTTAAGCCTCGATACTTTATTGAGTATTGAGTACTTTTGTGAGTGGGAAGCCGCACGTGTTGCATTTTATAAAAATTACTTAAACAAGAAAACAATGAAGGTAGCAACGAAAAAAGTCAAGTCCTTGGACAAAACAAAGTCCAAAAAGGCAGTTATAAAGAAAAAACAGCAGTCAGTAGAGATCCCAAAGTTGGCGAAAGCCGTGAAGACAGCGAAGCCAAGTAAAGTTGAGAAACAGCCAAAGAAGAAGGCGGCTAAGAAATCACACAAACAGGACTTGGAGGGTATAAAGGATATAGATCCCGAGTTCTATGATTTCCTTAAAAAGAATGACAAGGAACTACTGGATTTCAATCTTATGGACAGCGATGATGATGACGAGGAGGAAGATGTGCAACAAAAAGAAGCTACTGTTGCCGAAGACAGCGAAGAGGACGAGGCGAAGTATCACAAGCCCAGCAATGATCTTGCCGTGGCCAGCGATGAGAGTGACTTCGAAGGAGATGACGATGACGAGGAAACAATAGCTGCAGGTGGTCAACAAAAAATTACACTCAATATGCTGCGCCAATGGCAACTGCAGCTGGAGAAGCCCAATGTACCCATTGAGGCAGTGCGGCAGGTCATTCAAGCGTTCAATTCCGCCTTGGCTAGCATTAGTGCCGATGCCGAGGGCGAACAGGCAAATGCCGCTGCTTACAAAGTTGTTGGCGCCGCCACCTTCAATGGTGTCATCCAACTATGTGTGCTCCATCTGCAACCGGCCATAGTCCAAGTGTTGGGCGTCAAGCCCAACAGTAGTCTACCCTTGCACAAGCACAAGAAGTGGGTGAAGGTGCGTGGTTGTCTGCGCTACTATTTGGGTGATTTGATACGCCTCATAGAACAGGTATCTAGTTCGAATATATTGACCGTGCTGCTCAAGCATCTGCATCAAATGGCCGGCATGGTGGCACCCTTTACAGCGCTGGGAAAAACCATACTAAAACGTCTCATTGTGCTCTGGGCAACAGGTGATGAGACAGTGCGCGTGTTGGCTTTTCTTTGCATACTCAAAATAACACGTAAACAACAGGTGAGTTGCAATTAATCCTGTCTAGGATTTGAACTAATGTTTGGCATCTTCCCTTGCAGGCCACCATGCTAAACCACGTTCTGAAAGCCATGTATTTGGCATATGTGCGGAATTCCAAGTTCGTTTCGCCCAATACGCTGCCTGGTATCAATTTCATGCGCCGCTCGCTAGTGGAGATGTTCGCCCTGGACTTGAATGTTAGCTACCAGCATGCCTTCCTCTACATCCGCCAGCTGGCCATACATCTGCGAAATGCTGTTATCTTGAAAAAGAAGGATAGCTTCCAGGCCGTTTACAATTGGCAGTTCATCAATTCGCTGCGTCTCTGGGCGGATTTACTGGGAGCCACCGCAAATAAGCCACAGCTGCAACCACTTATCTATCCACTGGTGACGATTACAATAGGTGTGATTCGTTTGATACCGACGGCTCAGTACTTTCCGCTACGTTTCCATTGCCTGCAGTCGCTCATCTCGCTCTCCAAAGAAACGCACACCTATGTGCCTGTGCTGCCCCTCATTGTGGAGGTGCTGCGCAGCAACACGTTCAACCGCAAACACACATCGGTGTCCATGAAGCCTCTTCAGTTTACGTGCATTCTGCGTTTGAACAAATCGCAGCTGGCGGAGAATGGATTCCGGGATGAGGTCGTGGAGCAGGTGTGTGGCCTGCTCTTGGAATATTTGGCTTATGAGTCGTCCACGTTGGCCTTTAGTGATCTGGTTGTGCCGGTGGTGATGGCCCTCAAGGCTTATCTCAAGGAGTGCCGCAATGCCAACTATGTGCGAAAGCTGAAGCAGCTGCTGGATAAGATTCAGGAGAGTAGCCGCTTCATTGAGCAACAGCGCAGCAAGAGTAACGTCACATTCGACCTAAAGGACGCTCAGGCAGTGCAGGCATGGGAACAACAAGTGCGTAACAAGCGCACTCCCTTGGACATCTACTATGCCAGCTGGTTGAAGACGCACGAGACGAAGAAGCGACGCCAAGCGGCTCAAACGGACGACATCAATGCGGACTACGATATACCCAAATTGAAGCGACCCGCTGCCAAAACAGATGTCCCGGTGCGCAATGAAGATGGTGAACTTGAGCTCTTCCCATCTGATTCAGAAGACGATGATGCAGCGGGATTGCCCACTGACGACGATGATGATTCAGAGGTGGAACAGCCGCAACCGAAGAAATCTAAACGCAACCAGGAAAAACAGGAGGCAAAGAAGCAGCCGGAGGAAGTAGCGCCTACAGAGCCTGCAGATGAATACGACGACGCTGGCACAGCTGTGGATATTGTCAAGGACTTAGATTTGAATGATTGGTGAAACAAAAGCAAACAACAAAAAAACGATTGTACCATAGAAATAAACTAGACATACGTACATATATTAACAATTTAATTAATTAATTAGGTACAGAAATAAAGGTTTCTTAGCCCAACGGCTTCTTGCCAGGACTTATTTCGAATTCTTTGTACTTGGGAAACGTGCCTATGGTTTCTCCTTCCACCTGCTTGGGCAACGCGCCCGCATCCTTTTCTTTGCTGTAGTGCGCATCCAGCTCGGCTGCATTGCGCTTCTTCAGCTCCATGATCTGCAGGTTTTTCACCAACTCCTCGCGCGTAGGCGGATCGTCCCGTCGTCCACGCAGCCACGCCTCCCATTCGGCTGTCAACTCCTGGTCGAAAGCATCTTTTTCAGCTGGCACGAACCAGCGTGACGGTTTGCGTTTGCCCAGCGAAGGATTTGGCGGTATCTCATAGTACTTATTACCAAAATAATCCTCGCCAATATAGGTCCCACGGAATTGGCGCGGCTGCAGCGAACGCCAAAAATTTTGCCAAATGATGCCAAGAAGATCACGAGTCGGCTTTTTGCCTGCCATAATTTTTTAGCTCTATTTATTTTATCATTTGTTTATTGAGGTTAGATTTTCCGGTTACAATATTTGTTATGACATGCACCAGCTGACTGTCGGACTGTCGAGGCAGTGCTGTAAAACAACTTATGGAGCTGAGAACGCGGTAAATTTAAATATAAGAGATCGTTTAATGTTTGCCACAGTTTTAATTATTAGTAAGCTATAAACTATTATAAAGCTGGCTGGCTTGAGATCATAATTTTCTAACTTTTTGTACATATTTTCACATTTTTCTATTGAGGTTTAAATTGACTATTTTGTTTATAACATGGAGTAGCAGCTGTCTGTGGCAGTGTTGTTAAACGACAGCACGGCGGGATGGGAGCGCGCAATATGTTCAAATTACATCAAAAATTCAAAGACGGAGGTTATATTTCAGTGGCAACGCATACGGACTATGCCAATCTCTGGCAAAGACATCCACAACATCCGAGCGCAGCGTATGCTGCGTTTCATTCTCGAAATCCACTTCGGCCAGCACAAGACCCACACCAGCGGTGTATGTAAAGTACTCGCCCGACCAGTTGGAGGTTCCAATGTAAGCCACTCGCTCAGTGACCATGTAAGCATTATGACTGACACGCGCAAAGGGTATCTTTAACTGTTGTTCATCCGAAGGCACAATAAAACGGCGCTGTGGATGAAGTCGAATTATTATATATGTATGTGTGTGTAAGGAACTTCTATAAAAATACTTACAATTTGTATATCTACTTGATGGTTGTATGTTGACAATTCCTGCAGCGAGCGCAGATAGTTATCCTCATTGGGATCGGAATGCTTCCACCAGGAAACCAACAACTTAACGGCCACTCCACGCTCGAGGGCTGCTTTCCGCAGAGCGTTATCGATGAGTGGCCAAAATTCCAGCTTGGCACCAACCAGAATTAACGGATAATAGTCCATGACTGCAATATGCACGAATTCGGCTGCCGTATCTATGCAGTTGAGAATGGCATCCAAGTCATGGGTACGTCCACTAGCCGTCAGTGGTGGCGGAGCACTCGATATATAGGCACGCATGGTATAGTTACTATTGATTCGTATAAGCATAGGTTGACGCAGATTGTAGAGAGAATGATAGGACCAGGGCCACGGCTTGGGTATGCCTGCAGATCCATCGCTGCCCAGTTGCCAGTAGGATTTGAATATCTTCGACAAATCGCGTGTCAAGTGAGGACAGTTCTGGGCAAGCACACCCAGCTCCTTGACCTGTGTCAGCGACCGCCAGTCCATGTTGGCACTGCCCAAATAGAAATGTTGTCCATCCACAATCCACATCTTTGTGTGTAAGGCCCCTTCGTTGGCCAGCTTAACGGCTACCACCTTAGCGGCACCATAGTTGGCAAAGATTCGGGCATCCGCATGCCAAGAGCTTTCCACACTCTTATTGAGAGCAATGCGTATGCGTAATTTTGACTTGCCGGGATCTCCATTCGAGAGCAAACGCTGGAACAGCTGCTCACCCAGCTGTGTGCTGCTATCATTGACATCGACTCCGCGTAATGTCCAATACGGAGCAGCTATATCAATTGTTGCCTTTGCTTTATTCAGCAGCAGCTGCCATGCTTCGAAAGTGCTCAAGAACTTCGGACTATCGGGCGTATAGTTCAGGCCAATGGGTATCGTCTCCACCAGCTGTAATTGACAAGGCAATGGCTTTTCCACGGGGGTAGTTTCGTCCATATGGCCGTTTCGTGTTTCCCAAGGCAACAGGAGCACAGTTAACACAAGCACAAACAGTATTAGTACGGGTATAATATAGCCATGACCATAGCATAAAGCGTCACCCTCTGCCGCAGCTACAGCGGGGCGCCTGCAGCATGACGTAGTCGTTGACGTTGTTGACGTTGAGTTTGAATTTCGATTGATAATTTCCGTTGCATTGGATGCGTGTAACGGCACTGCTTGATAATCGATGGTTATTTCGGGCATGTACCCACGCTTACGACGGTCCGACATTGCAATGCCAAGCAGCAAAATGGCTGCACATTTCTAGTGATTTCTAATTTATGTTTTCCAACTAATATATTATTCGACCAGTTGTGACAAATGGTTGCGCCCGCCCATCCACCCACGCAAACAAAACATAAAACCAGTGTTGACAAACACTGCATTTTGTTATCGATTAACTAGTTCAGCTAGAGCTGAGCAATAACTGACATTGTGACGGCCACCAGTGATTTTCCAATATTGAATAATAATAACCAATCAGAAAAAAACTTGACAGTTACATAGAACGTTTTTTTAAATACATCTAGTTAGACTGCATACGATGCAGTAATAATATATTTGGTTTTTATATATTTAGGAAACTTGTAGTTCTTTTATCGAAACGTGCCAGTCACATCACATCATTTATGCTCATCTCTAATACCATGTCACCCTCACCGCCAGCCAGTTTTCGCGATTTGCGCTCAGTCTGTGTTAAAATCTTCCGGCTGAGAAGGCTGAAAATTTTGACGACTGTGTTATCACTGAAAGCCACCATACAAAATTTCGAGTGTTTATATATAGTTTGATATTGTACGAAAGAAGTCGCGTAATTATGGCAGCGAGATTAATGAACGCTCAGGCACAGGTACGTGTTGCCAAATAAGCATGCCAAGAAAAGTTCTGGAAGCGCGAATCGGGAACCTGTGCATCCAGACACACACATACGCACACGCATACGCATGCAGAAAAATCAATTTATGCTGATAAGACAATTAAAGTCCAATAACAATATATTAAAACAGTGTGCCGTCAATTAAATGGTGCATATTCATATGCATATTTGCAGGAAAAGTAAATGCAAATTGGAATTTTTCGCGTTGCGCTTTTCTAACCTAAAAGCCAATCAAAAAGTTGTTACCTAACCGAGCATTTTCTGCTGCTCTTTTTTAATTTTCCAAAAAAGTAGTATATAGTTAATATGAGTGCGTGTGAGTGTGTGTGAATTATTGCAGCTCAGTAGCAGAAATAAAAACGAATAATAAAATTCAACAAAAATAACTAATTGCTACAATTTAAGCAACGTGCTAAGAATGTATTTATGTAAGCATCGTTATTCAACGTTGCGAGAAACACTGCCATATATCTTATTAGTTCTTATCTGCTGACACTTTGATAGTATTTTTAATTAGAGTACATAAATATATATGAAAGTGTATTGTATATGAAAGTCACTTTAATACAAAAATTAAGAATAAACAAGTAAACAGCCTGCAGTTTGGGAGCTCTGATACATATGCAATGGGTGCAATAACATTTCCAACTCCGACGCCTTGAAGCTATTGAACTTTTGACGTAGTTTGCAGCGTTCTCTCTACTCTCCTGTTGTTGTTTTTATTGATCACGTGAAATAATTAGAAGTGTTTAGTAATGCATATAAAGTCAAAAGCACATCAATGTTGATTTTAAGTTTTTCCACTCTGAGAGGGCTATCAACTTTGAAAACTACATACTGTGGAGACAAATAGTTATTATTGGATAATAGTAGTGTCCTCTTTACTAACCAAGTGGCATGCCCTGTTGTCAATGGCTATCTTATCGTTAGACTATTGATACGATTAATTAATAATATAAGCGTCCGTGATATGTTAATCAACTATTATTTATAGCGTGGCCCCTATGCGAATCACAAGGTTTACGCATTGCATTAGCGATGCGCAAACAAATTATTTAGTCAATGATTTATGATTAAATAGAAATGTTAACTGAACTGCAACAAAATGTTTGCTGTTAATAACGGTGTTGTTAATGTAAATATGTATCTTATAAATATTTGCCTAAGCTTGCTGCAGTGGCATAAATGTTATTTATATATATTTATCTGTTAATATTTCTGATAGTCTAATGTTACATACATCTAAATGTTACATAACATGTAACTGTTAGTACTGGATTATGCTATTAGCCTAGTTCCACACCATCTAATAAGCTGTAATCTAACTAAATTCCAATATGCTAATTGCTTAATTAATTTCACAGGTGTGCAAATTGGGCAAACATGTTGTGGATCCCATGGCACGTCAATTCCATGCTTCCTGCTACACCGCCTCCAAGGTGGCCCTGTCGAAATTCGACTCGGACGTCTATTTGCCTTACGATAAGCTGAACAAGCGTCTGGAAGTGGTGCGCAGTCGTCTGAATCGCCCTCTGACTCTGTCCGAGAAGGTTCTGTATTCGCATTTGGATGATCCGGCGAATCAGGATATTGTGCGTGGCACTTCGTATCTGCGTCTGCGGCCCGACCGTGTGGCCATGCAGGATGCCACTGCTCAGATGGCCCTGTTGCAGTTCATCTCCTCCGGATTGAAGAAGGTTGCTGTACCCTCGACCGTGCACTGCGATCACTTGATCGAGGCGCAAGTTGGTGGACCCAAGGATTTGGCCCGTGCCAAGGATCTGAACCGTGAGGTTTACGATTTCTTGGCGTCGACGTGCGCCAAGTATGGTCTGGGCTTCTGGAAGCCAGGCAGCGGTATCATCCATCAGATCATCCTGGAGAATTACGCCTTCCCCGGCCTGCTGATGATCGGTACGGACTCGCACACCCCCAACGGCGGCGGTCTCGGTGGCCTATGCATTGGTGTCGGTGGTGCTGATGCCGTCGATGTCATGGCCGACATACCCTGGGAGTTGAAGTGCCCCAAGGTCATTGGTGTCAACTTGAGTGGCAAGATAAGTGGCTGGACCTCGCCCAAGGATGTCATCCTGAAGGTGGCTGATATCCTGACCGTCAAGGGCGGCACTGGTGCCATCATTGAATACCACGGCAAGGGTGTTGACTCCATCTCTTGCACGGGCATGGCAACCATTTGCAACATGGGTGCTGAAATTGGTGCTACCACCTCACTGTTCCCCTTCAATCAGCGCATGGCCGACTACCTGAAGTCCACCGGTCGCGGTGGCATCGCTGCCGAAGCCCAGAAATTCCAGTCCAAGATCCTGTCCGCGGACAAAAATTGTGAATACGATGAGCTGATTGAAATCAATCTGGATACACTGGAACCGCATGTGAATGGTCCATTCACTCCAGATTTGGCTCATCCCATCAGCAAGCTGGGCGAGAACTCCAAGAAGAACGGCTATCCACTTGACATCAAGGTTGGCCTGATTGGATCCTGCACAAACTCGTCGTACGAGGATATGGGTCGTTGTGCCAGCATTGCCAAGGACGCCATGAGCCACGGTATCAAGTCAAAGATCCCCTTCAATGTGACACCCGGCTCTGAGCAGATCCGTGCCACCATTGAGCGCGATGGCATCTCTGAAGTATTCGACAAGTTTGGCGGCACTGTGCTGGCCAATGCCTGTGGCCCCTGCATCGGTCAGTGGGATCGTCAGGATGTGAAGAAGGGCGACAAGAACACCATTGTCACCTCGTACAATCGCAACTTCACCGGTCGTAACGATGCCAATCCGGCTACTCATTGCTTTGTGACCAGTCCCGAGATGGTCACCGCCTTGTCCATTGCCGGTCGCCTGGATTTCAACCCGTTGACGGATGAGCTCACTGGCGCCGATGGCAAGAAGTTCAAGCTGAAGGCACCCTTCGGCGATGAGCTGCCCGCCAAGGGCTTCGATCCCGGTCAGGATACCTACACTGCACCACCACCTGTAAGTTAAGATTTTTCCGTTAATTTCTGATATTGAAAGATAATCGAAATTTCATTGCTCAACAGTCCGGCGAAAATGTCAAAGTTGTTGTAGATCCCAAATCGCAGCGCCTGCAACTGCTGGAGCCATTCGACAAGTGGTCTGGCCAGGATTTGACCGATATGACTGTGCTGATCAAGGTTAAGGGCAAGTGCACCACAGATCACATTTCTGCCGCTGGCCCCTGGTTGAAGTATCGCGGCCATTTGGACAACATTTCCAACAACATGTTCATTGGCGCCACCAACTCTGAGAACAACGAGATGAACAAAATCAAGAACCAGCGCACTGGCAAGTGGGGCAATGTGCCCGAAGTCGCCCGCGACTACAAGGCTAACAACATCAAGTGGGTGGCCGTCGGTGATGAGAACTACGGCGAGGGCTCCTCTCGCGAGCATGCCGCACTCGAGCCACGTCACTTGGGTGGACGCGCCATCATTGTGAAGTCATTTGCTCGCATCCACGAGACCAACCTGAAGAAACAGGGTCTGCTGCCATTGACCTTCGCCAATGCTGCCGACTATGATAAGGTAGATACGATAAGATATACAAATAGATAAAGAATGGAATAGAAAATTATAATATTTGATATATTTGTAGATCCAACCTACAAGCAAGATTTCACTGCTGAATCTGAACAGCTTGGCGCCCGGCAAGCCCGTCGACTGCGAAATCAAGAACGGCGATAAGGTGGAAAGGATTAAGCTGAACCATACGCTCAACGAACTGCAGATCGGTTGGTTCAAGGCAGGCAGCGCTCTTAACCGCATGAAGGAGTTGGCCAATTAAGTTACTTAGTCCCCCCCCTCTCGAGAAGCCTTACATACACACACAGACACATACACTCAAGACAGACAGCCAACCATATATATACACCCGACATAAAACGCAAGCAATCAAATTATGGTATTGTTTTTTAAAAAAATATTTTTAATTTTTTATTTGGCGCGTTGCTTTTAAATTTTTTATTCAGTGTCGCAAATGCAAATAGTGAAGGTTATGTAATCGAAAAAATGAAATCGAGAAATTGTGAAACAGTTTTATATATATATATATATACAATTATACATACATTAATTATATTTAGTTGAACTTTTGTTTATTTGCAAATTTGTTTGCTGCGAATGCGAATAAAATTTATTGTAATTGTATGAAAGAAAGCAAAGATGTTTTATGTAAATTATTTTTTGCTTTTTGTTTGTTTTTCTCGAAGCGGACAATAAACGGACACACAATCCAAGCGTGGAGAAGTGCTGAACCATCTCCTAGTCGCAACATTAAACACACTCACTCACACATTTGTTTAAACTAATTGTATCAATTATGAAATTTAAATTTAGTAAGCGTTATAAAGCAAATAAAACTGAAATTCAATAATGCTTTCCGTTTTCAAATTATGAAACGTTGTAAGGCAAATGAAGCATAGAAACGCTTTCCACAATCTCCTGATTTTCACGTCAATCGATCGAAATACCAAGTGTCTAAATTTCCAGTTTGCATTATGGCTAATCAATGGCGATTGCCGGGCTCGACTAGGTCCACATCTATAACAAATTTGACGCTCTGCTCGAAGCAAGCGAAGCGCAAGTGGCGCTACAAATTCAAGTTTCTCGATTTATACAAGGAAAAAGAATGCCTGTGGATGGAGAATCACAAGGATTTTCTCAATTTTGAATTAAAGGACGAGGTCTGGGAACAGCTTGCCCAGGAAATGTGCTGCCCCGAACGCCCCCATCCGAAGCCCGACAAATGGAGACATCTGGTCATCAAATGGCGCTACAACGTGCAATTGGAGCAACTGCGTAAACAGGAGGCGAAACATTTCGACAAACTGAATGAATTGCCCCGCAAACTGCGCTATTCGGATAGATTGCAGTTTCTAATCAAACACACGTTCGATCGCAAAAAGAATGTACAGGCAGTAACGCCAGTAGCGGTAAGTCTAAAGATCTGGAATACTATCCTTATATAGTTTCAAGACCTGAAAACTTTATGGCATAGATGCTCATAAATTCACGAATTTATGAAAGTAATTCCGTACGTATAACTTACATGAGGACTTTCCATAAACATATAACATATTATAAATTTGTTGAGTATAATCATATAAGCTTGTCTGTATGGCAACAATCAATCAATTTTAAATCTATCTCGCTGAATCATATGTTTTTCAAAATAATCTACGAATATGACCCAAGCTGTGTCGAGCTTAGTATATTAATAAGAATAATTATTTAAACACAATCTTCATGACTAAACTATAACTATTTACTATTATAGCTACTTGGCAGATATAGTAATGCATTTTGCAATTTTTGAGATTTAAATAGGAATTCTCGTCTGTAATATATAATATTAATACGCTTAACATTATGGTTTCTCTTAGCGTACGCCTGAGCCATTAACCTCGCCGACACAGGAGAGCCTTGCCGCCAAATGCATGCGTTTGGGTCGTTGTAAGAGCAAACTTCACACATCCTTTGGACAAAAGCTGCGAACAATGGAGAAGATCCGAAATAAACGATGCTGCACAATGTGCCTGTCGCCAGAGGCACTACATCGAATACTGTAGAGCCCGAATATTAACGTATTTGAGAGCCGAATTAAATAAATCTGAAAAAGAGAACAGTCGTCCATTTCGTAATTTCATAACATTTCACTTTGTATTTACATTATAATAGCCTTTTCAAATTTATTACATTTCGGTTTTTATTGGTTTTTGTTTTTCTTTGTAATCATAATAATTTGCTTTGCTGTGGTTGTTTTTTGCCATTTAAATAGTAAAACGTTTTTTTATATAACAATTCATAATTTTAGCTTACAATAGTGTTTCTTATGTTTTGTGTATGTGTTTTTATATATTTCGTACTTACAATTTTCTGTTTTGCAAACACGATTTCTTCGAAAACAGTTTTCATGCAAATATACAACGTTCAGAACATGGTTTTGCATTAATTTAATATCTGTATATATATACACATGTATATATATATAACTGTTATGCGTATATATATGCATATATATAAATATATGTATAATTATGTATATAACTAAAAAATGCGTAAATAAATTGGTTTTTGTTTCTTATGTATATTATGTGTTTTGTTAATTTCCTTTTCATAAAAGGAACAAATCGCACATGCGGATCAAACATGTTCATATTTCAATATACAGCAATATATCATATCATCTCATCTGGTGTTATTCTCTGTTTTATGCTTAACATCGTTTCGCGTTACTATTAATTACACACAATAATCGATATTATAAACCTGAATTGATTTGTTAATATTTTGTTTTTGTTGTTGTTCATCATTTGTTTTTGTGTAAGCGGCACTCTAAATAATATTTACGCTCTTTTTGTCTCTGTCAGTGTCCCTCATGTCAATTGCCTACAGTTTTCCTCAATATCAGGTATCAGCTGACATGGGATTTCACTGAACAACTGGCGGCATCTCTGCTATTGTCTCATGCGTCTCGTCTAATATTGTTTATTGTTGGTTTGGTTTGTAATTTTGTAATTTACCATTTTGTAGTAGTTGTTTATTGATTCTACATATCTCTATTTCTATGAAATGGCTGTTAAAGATTTTGGTTTGGAACGCATCATTCCCACTCGGTGGTGCCAGGCGGCTTGGCTGTCAAGTCGTAGAGTACCCTCGAGATGCCATCCAATTTAGAAATATCTCGCACAATTTGATTTAGAACCTGTGAATTATAAATAATACGTATCTAATATCTGTTTGAATGAGCATGAATCATGTAACGCACATGCAATGGCAGTTGAGCAGATCCGGGCACAGCTGGCACACCAGTCATAAAATCGTTCGTTATAAATGGACGCAATACCACTGATCTTCTGCAGGAAGGCGTACGATTAATCGGATCACGATCGAAGTGCACGGGTATCAGAACTACGGGCATTTGTGAGATTTTTCGATACAGTCCCTCTTTCATTATAATCTATTGAGTTAGGGAAGAATAGAAAAAGCCTTCGAATCATAAGCAATTTGATCGATTAGAAAACAAACTCACCTCATTAGCTATAGCGTCCGCTTGCCTGAGTTGCGCCAGTACTACAGTGTTCAGCGTTGTGTGCGTTATATCTGTAATTAGATACTGCACGGGCTCGCCAAAGATATAACAGACTCGGTTAACGTTATGCAATATGCGTGGTATGATTTTGGCCAAAAATAACATGTCAGTCCAGTTGGGCTCCGGGGTCGTCGTTGACAAGCCAACAACATAGCTGTAGGTGCGCTTATCACCCTGTACACCCACCGAGCGTACCGGCAGTAGAGTAGCCTGTATATCGGAATTGGCAGAGATGCGCAGCAGTTCCTTTTGCTCAGCTTCACTAGTGGCGCCTGTGACACGATTAATGAGCGCATGATTCTTTTGTAGTTTATTTTTGTAGTCCACTATAACGCGCACAATGACCTGTGAACAAATCGATTTCAAGTTAACTAAATTCGTTAGAGAAATGCGATTTTCTGATTGCTACTTGCCTGTGTTTCCGAGTAATCCTTCTCCATATATGCTTCCTCGGCGCAAAGAACGCGTATGGCTAGACCAGGACCGGGGAACGGCTGCCTCTCGACCAATTCCGCTGGCAGGCCAAGATCATTGCCCAGGTCACGCACCTCATCCTTGTGGAAGTCACATAATGGTTCTACGACACGGCCAGCATTACGCAGCTCCCTATAAACAAATGTGACTCACATTAAAATGAGAATATCAAAATTGATAATTGACCTCGTTCATATATAAAATATATGGATAGGCGAACACAAATAAGTATATCCTTGGCAGCGACGTGCCATCACTTGCCTACAACTTGTTGTAGGCTCAATTTCTTTAAAATGTTTGGCTCCAGTTATATGTTCCATATATGGATTGCTTCCGATATACATATGAATTTCAAATATTTTTCCCAAGGCATACCAAAAACAAACTAAAATATAATAAAGTATCTTGAATATGCTATCGCTCTACCGAATCAGATCCGTGTCATTGTGATGCGTTTTAATTGTTTCGGCATTCGTGCTGACCATATTCGATGCAGACTCAATCAAATCCGGCCTCAGTGTACCCTGCGCCAAGAGGACCTCCTCGGGCTTCAGTTTCAGCTCAGCCACCACATCGTTAGTCACTTTCACAAATATATCACCGATTATTTTTCGCTTCTCCTCCGGGTTGTAGGTCTGACATAACATGGGCGTTTCAACTACCGAATACTGGCCGGGTCGTTTCACTTGCGTGGTGCCCTTGAGGAACGTGTAGCATTCTTTACGCACTATCAAATCAATGCCAATATCTCGCAATGAACGCACTACATTTTCGCTTTCATTTTTTCGCATGAAACCTATAAGGGAGAAATATGCAAATGGTTAGTCAGGTTGAATATTAACATTGTACAATGGCAATATTACCATTATCCACATGAACTGCTATAATCTGATTAGGATGCAGCGCTCGTCGCAGCAATGCAGCACAGACACTTGAATCAACGCCTCCACTGACTAGCAACTGTTTAAGAATTTGTGAAACAATGAGATATGGATTTCTATTATATTATGTTTATATACATACCAAAACTTTATTATTGCCCACTTTTTCGCGTATGTACCGAATGCATTCCTCTTTTCGACTGCCCATGGTAAAGTTAGGAGTTAGTTCGCAAATTTCGTATAGAAAATTGGATAGCATTTGTTTGCCGTTGATAGTTAGATCGACTTCTGGATGAAATTGAACACCATAGATTCTCAATACCTCACTGTAAATGGCCGTCACAATCCGATTTGTTGACCAGCCACCCACTTTCAACTGATCGCCCACTCGGTCCACGCTATCGCCATGGGTGAGCAGCACGGACTGTGTACGGCTAAGGCGACTGTAACAGAGAAACATTGGTTAATAAAATGAGCAACAGAATGCATTTCAAAAAGAATTAAGTGAATGTCAAGCCACGTGTAGATCAGTTTATAGACTACGCTAAACTGAACTGTTCTTGGCTTTAACTTTGCTCTGGCAGCATTGTATCAGCGCTCAAATAAACTGACAATTTGAAGACTTTCTTGTTGCTGCTGACGAGAATCAGAAAAGAATAGATGGATAGATGATAGGGAGAAGGAGGCAACCATACCTGAATAAAGGACATGACGTTTCAATCTCAATATTTTGTTGTCCATCCTCCCGCACGCCAGTCTTGACAACACTGCCGCCGAACTCTTTGTTGATTAACTGCATGCCATAGCAGATGCCAAGCACTGGGATTTTCAGTTTAAATAGATCGGGATCGTACGTGGGTGCATCTTCGGCATAAACTGAATTGGGTCCGCCGGATATGATTATGCCTCGATAGCCATTATCACGTATTGTTGCGGCAGGCGTATCCAATGGCAGAATATCCGATTCTACTAAAAGTTCTCGAACCTTGCGATCGATTACCTGCATCGAGAGTTGTATGTATTTAATTATAGCTATTACTATATATAGTTATAGAGACGACTTACCTTGCCATACTGTGCACCAGCATCCAGTATAACAATTTTATCGTGTCGCAGTCCATTCTCCGCTGTCGTTAGGTATATAGTTGTACTCATATCTTTATCGTTGCAGCACTGACCAGGATGACGCCGAGGAGAACAGACAAAGAGAGTGAGCGGGAGCGAGAGAGATAGAGAGACAAAGAGAAAGATGGCGTGATTAGCAGCTGCCGTTAATAATAAGTGCCATGCAATTCTCTAAAGCAGCCAAATACGAATAGCAATATGCGCCAGATCTGTAAGCATATTTATATGCCTGCCAATAGGTGTGTGGAACTGTGGTGCCATGTTTCGGGCTGCGTAATTGAAGCATGTGCTACAAGGTCGAAATTGAATTGAATTGAATTTAAAGCCATATCAACAAATGCAATAAACAACACATCGGATCTGTTTAACTTTGGTAAGGTAACAAACAAATGGAACAACACATACCGGTAAAATCTTTTGGATCACACGTAGAATCATTCAACATGCAGACATGAAATTGTCAGGCCAAGTTTTGCGACAATTCTACGATAGATAAACATTTTCATTTTGGTCAACAGCAAAGAGTAAAAAAAATTTATTCAATGAGGAGGTGGCGGCGTTAGCGGCGGTGGCAACGGCGTGACAAAAAAGGTCAAAAGGCGACGCCTTCCAAATGAATTGAACATACATATATTTTTCTTTACCAGTGTGTTATGAGCATATGAAATGGGTGTGGGTGGGGGCGAACTCGACGTAATTTAGCGAGAAACACAGATTTGTTATTTTTTGTTAGTTGTTTTTATTTTATCCCCAAATCACAATTGCACTAGGCCATTTATTTGATTTTTTTTTTTTTTGTTCTGTCATTGGAGCGTGTGTGGGGGCCGGCACTGACCGCGACAGATGACATGCAGAAAGAGCATGAGAGAGCGGGTGTTGTGCACGTCTGCGTTTGCGAATGTGTATGTGTGAGTGCGGAGAAGAGGTGAACGGCGCTAAAAAGGAGACAGGCGAATGAAAACTCAAAACACGCGCTGCGAATGCAAAACGCCGTGGAATGCGAAAATGCGTAAAGGGAAATGTGCAAAAAGCAAACGGTAAACGATGTTGGGGCTATGTTTCTAACTGTTGTTATTGTGTTTATGTGGCAACTCTATGCTTTTGCATTTTTAAAACACTTTCGGATCAATTATTCGTGTGCCCGTTTCCTCTATAGCATGCGCTCAGGCAATGTTGCATTGCGATAAGCAAATGGCAACAAAAAAAACCGCATAAGTCAAAGGCTATCAACAAGCACCAAAAACAACAACAGCAACTGCAACGACAAAATGCAACTTGAGATGCAATTGGGGGACACACGTGGGGAAAATGGTTTTGAATCAAGCTATAGCCACAAAACGACCACGGTTATCTGTATGTCATGCAATTTGTGAGCGCATTCAAAAGTCGGTCAAAAGCACACGCATTTGCACACGTCGAAAATGCAAAAAGGAAAAAAAGTGTGAGATTCGCAGTTAGTGGGAGGCGCTGGCTGATGCTAAATTTCTTACCTGGTTTGCTAATTACCGGGCGGAGGTGGGGGCCTATTGAGTAGGCAGAAAAACACTTTATTCTTAAACACTAAATTACACGTTTTATGCTGGGTGCAGTATTCCGGGTATCTTTGATTTGACCAGCACACTTCTTTCTTTTTTGCTTTTTTTGGAAAATCGGCACCGCGTCCGACTCCGTCAAATCCGCAAATATTTGACAATTTTTAGGGCCTTACGAAAGCCGCTGCAGCTGGCACATTGGTGTCTGAGTAATATTCCTTGTAAACGTTTATAAGATATGCGGCTATTGGCGATTTACCACTGTCCAGAGCAACACAATTTAAATATTACGGTGCTCTGCAACTAAACTTTTCGTGAATAAAAGCCGAAAGATGACATATTGACGAAGAAATTAGTGTTGGGTTGTGAATGAGCGAAAAAAATGAACCATTGGCTCAAATGAATAAAGGGTTCTAAATTATTGCGAATTCCGTGTATATGCATTTAATATTGCGCACTCATGTATTCCATGGAGTTCATCTATCTGTTAAAATTGTCTATAATCATCAATTTACTGAAATGCATCAGAACAATCAAATGTTGAAATTTTTGCAAAATCATTTTTTCTAATTTTGAGAGCGACGAGCGAATTTAATAACAGTTTACAGCACTGGAAGGCTACTGAATTCAGCGTTGCTGTGGATATCTTAAACAATAATCGATAGCATTAAAATGCCAGTGTTGGTAAATGCAGGTCGTACAGCATTACTCAATACACAACAGTTGGCCCGCCAAAAATGATTTGTATGCGCGCTCTTTCGGATCCGTCGTGAAAATCTCTTTATATTTTTAAATTTCAACACTAACAATGAGTCCCGCAAACAAATCAGAGGCTGATATAAGCGTAGAAGACGAAGAAGAAATACTAGCACTTGAAAAATTGCTAGGCGAAGCTGAAAACGATAATGGAACGGAAAGTGCAAACGCAGCAGCGGCAGCAGCTGCTGCAGCACCACCGAAACCACCAACATTAGCCACCGCAGTGCCCCGATTACGTGAAGACGACAGCTTTGCAAACGCCTTTAGCTATGAGGTGACCGCCAAGCCAGCAAAAACAAATGCAGAGACAACAGCGAAAGCCGCAGAGCCAGAGCTCGACTCATCGGACGACGAAGAAGTCAAGAACTTCTTGGAGCGTAAATATAATGAATACGGCAGCGACATCAATAAAAAACTCAAACAGCAGCGTGAAACTGCACACGAAAGCAAAGTGGCACGCGAGGTGGATCAGTCATTGAGGACAACGACAAAACTGGTGACCTCATCGCCACAGCCGGAGGCACTGCGTCTCAAGAATCCGCATAATCCCATCAAACGAACGGCGCTGACAAGCAACTCTTTCCAAAGACCACCAGCTACAGCAGCAGCAGCTACTGCCACAACCACTGGCCAATCTCTGCAGCAGTCAAAGATCACGGCTGTTTACACGGATCCCGTTTTCGGACTGCGTATGATCAATCCATTGATATCCAGTACTTTGCTGCAAGAGCGCATGAATGGCCGCAAGGCGGTGCCTTTTTCTGGTCTAGCCTTTCACATTGAACGCGGTGATTTGTCCAAGGATTGGGTCATTGCCGGTGCATTGGTCACTAAACAGCCGGTGCGAAATACCAAAAAAGGTGATCCTTATTCCACGTGGACTCTCTCAGATCTGCGTGGCGAAATGAAGACTGCCACCGTCTTCCTCTTCAAGGAGGCACACAAATCATTATGGAAAACAGCTGAAGGCATGTGCCTGGCCGTGCTCAATCCAACTATCTTTGAGAAGCGCGCGGGCAGCAAAGATGTCGCCTGTCTGTCCATCGATACCTCCCAGAAGGTCATGATTCTCGGCCAGTCCAAGGACCTGGGCACGTGCCGTGCAACCAAAAAGAACGGCGACAAATGCACAGCTCTGGTGAACCTGACCGACTGCGATTACTGCGTCTTCCACGTGAAGCAGGAGTTTGGTAAAATGTCCCGCCGATCCGAGCTACAGTCGGCGACAACGGGACGCGGCCTCAACGAGCTGCGCAACAAGGTGCTGGGTAAGCATCACAATCCCAATCAATTAGAGTTCTTATAAACATTTCTGTTTGCAGGCAAGAATGAGGTGTTCTATGGTGGTCAATCTTTCTCGGCAGTGCCGGCACGCAAGAGCGCCAAGCTCATCAACAAGGAGCGCGACCGGCTCAGCAAGCTGGCTGGATACGATATCTCGCCCTTTGCCCACAGCGTTGATCACAAGTCGAAGCCACGTTCCAGCCAGCCAGACAGTGTGCCCTATGCAGAGCGTGGTGGACCCGTCTCTCGGCTGGCCGGCAATGTGGAGGCTTCATCCAAGCAGCGTTGTAAGGATCTCGAACGCTTGCGTCTGCTCCGCGAAGAGAACGAACGTTTTGAAAAGAAAGCAGCAGCACCAACTCAAGAGACACCCACAACTCCCATACCCAAGGCAGTTGACCCGCCCACCACGCCACAAAGCGTGCCGGATAAGTTCAAGAATCGTGGATTCTCATTCGATGCTAGCCTGACACCGAAACTGGCGGGCAGCGAGAATTTCAGCTTCGAGGTGAACATTGGAGCGCGGCAGGCGCAGAGCGCCAAACTAAAAGCAGCAGCGCTGCTCAAGAAGAAGCCGCTGGAGAAGGTCAATCCGAATTCCACGCGCGGCACTGAGTCTGGCAAACGACGCGCCATCGACGAGCTGCACGAGAAGTTCAGCAGCACAGCGAAACGGCAAAAGCTCGAGGAAGAGGAACGCGAATTGATGCGTAAATCGCGCATTGAGCGAATCATGGCTGCCACATCCTCCCATACGAATCTGGTCGATATGCGCGAACAGGAGGCGCAAGACGACTACTTCAATAAGCTCGAGCGCAAAGAGGCCATGGAGGAGAAGATGTTGAGCACCTATAAAATGCCCTGCAAGGCGGTCATCTGCCAGCGCTGCAAATACACAGCCTTCTCGGCCGCCGAGCGCTGCAAGGAGGAGAAACATCCACTGAAAGTCGTGGATGCTGAGAAGCGTTTCTATCAGTGCAAAGACTGCGGCAATCGCACCACCACCGTCTTCAAGATGCCCAAGCACAGCTGTAGCAGCTGCAAAGGCTCACGCTGGGAGCGCACGGCTATGATTCGAGAGCGCAAGGTACTCACGGGCCGTGAAACTCTTTCGGTGAGAGGAGATGAGGAGACCTTTTTGGGCTGCGTGGCCAGTGGGGCGAGTCTCAATCTGCTCGTGCCCGAGGAGGAATAGATGGGTTCGAAACTCGATCGAGGAGAGGAATAGACTCGGACTGCGTAATATTGTATGTTAAATATATTTGGAATATTATATAGAAATGGCATAGTTATAAATATTTATATATATAGAGTTTTATATACAGTCTAGTATTTGGCATATACACATTGAATAAGTACAAATGGTCCAAAGTTCTTAAGGCTTATCTGTTTAGTATGTCTCTGTATGTCTTATACAAATGGCTAAATCAATGTACTCCTAAAAATATGGTGCACAAATCTTTAGCAAATCTTTTTGGGCTTTCGATTTTATAAATATAAATTTTTGGTAAGTTTTTTAAAAAGGACTTTTTTGTTTCTGATTTACACCACTCAATTTTGTTAGATTTGCTTAAAGCTGAATTATGTTTCGTATGTTCCATATTTGTGACAAGAAGCGCATTAATTTGTTGCAATTGTGAATAGATTATATGTATATAATTATGGGTATAATTAGATCTAAGGCGTATGGGTAGTACTTAAATTCAAATTTTCTTTGAAAGGCAACTAGAGCTCTTTAAAGTATAGGCATAAGCTTAGCAGGGTTAAGTTTTATAAATATTTCGATTCAAGATTGTCGAAGATATTGGAGAATAGTGTTGTAAGTTACTAAGTTTGTTGGATAGTGAATTATGAAGTTTAAAAACTTAGTATTGAAGCGAGCTAGACTCTGAAGCAAAAAGGAATTTGTGAGAAGGAATGATAATTAAAGAGTAGATGTTTATGAAGTTGGTAACTTAAAGATTGAAGATATTCTAACTGAAGGAAATGATGAAATGATACATATATAGGAATTCCTATTTAGAAATTTTGAAATATGTACATAGCTCAATCGATTCATTTCAAGAAATAATATATAGGAATTTATGTTGAACTTTCTATTTAGAAATTTTGAAATATTTATCTCAATTGATGAAGATGGAGGGGTATCATGTCTTAAGTAATTCCCTTCAGTTTCAGAGTCTCTTTCTCACACTCTAAATGCAGCAGAGTATTCGAGTAAAATGTTTGGGCAATATTATAAAGCTAAATATATGATACATAGGTTTAAAACTAATTAACAAACAATTTGAACTAAAAAATCAGGCGCATCTACAAATAATTAAAAAACAAATAATAATAATAACAAAAACAAAAATTGTCGAAATACTGAGGAAAACCCCTTTTAGACCGCATCCTCGGCATGTGGCTGCGGCGTTTCGGGGTCTTTGAGATTTAGTAGACTGGAGAAACGAAATGAGATGGTCTTGGAGAGATGCTTCTCAAAGTCGCGATTATCGAGATTATCGGGTATTAGCGTATTATTGGTCATGTCCATGTAGGAGCGACCACGCTTGACGGGCACCGCATAGTCGGGCAGGCAGGAAGCAGCAGCAACGCATCCATTTGAGGTCATGTTGCTGTAGCTGGGCGCACAGCTGGACTTGCGTATGTTGAGCGGAAAGCGTAGATCGTTCTCGTAGCGCAACACCTGCTCCGTGGTCCGGGCCTCGATCAATGGGCGTGGCAGATCGTATCCGGGCGGAACTACGGCTGCTGCGGAAGCAAATTCTGTAACCGACTCGTCCCGACTGTTGTTCAGCTCGTGGTCGTAGCTGTTGATCTTGGGCGGCGACCAGAGATGCTCCAATGATTCCGGCTCGCCGAGCTGTTCGACAAGTCCCTCGCTGGGCATTAAAGCCGCCTCATCGCTGCAGTACAGCGGATTGGACACGGCATTCGCCTCCAGCTCAATGTACTTGGCATTGTTGCCCAGCAGCTTCTCAAACTCGGCGGCCAAGTACTTGAAGGAAGGCCGTGCATTGGGCTCATCCGCCCAGCAGGTGCGCACCACGGAGTAAACCGCCTCGGAGCAGTTCTCCGGACGTTCCATGCGATAGCCCGTCTTGAGCAGAGACCACAAATTCTGGGGCGCTATGCCTGGATACGGCGAGGCGCCCAATGTGATCAGCTCCCAGCAGAGCACACCAAATGCCCAGACATCGGACTTACTCGTGTACACATGATCCGCCAGAGACTCGGGTGCCATCCACTGCAAAGAGAGCGAAAATTAGGCATATGCGTGGGAACAGCTCTCCCGCTCAGCTCACCTTGACGGGCACGCGATCTCTGGATCGCTTCAAATAGGCATCATCCTCGTAGACGTCGCGCGTCAATCCGAAATCAGAGATCTTGCAAATTTTGCCATCGGCAAGCAGCACATTGCGTGCAGCCAAATCGCGATGAACCAGCTGGAAGGGAAGGGGATTCAGGGTATTAAATCTACGTATATATGATGTTTGCATATATTATGTTATATAAAGTCTGATTTTGAAGACTTATTCTTCTAATTATTCTTTTCTAATGTGCCTAGCATCCGAATAGGCTGTACCGTCCGTCTGGATTGTCTTTCGCTGATCCTCAAGCATGGGGAGCAGACTATGATATATTTTCTTAAAGATCTTTGTCAATGCTTGGGAGTCGTCTTCTGATAGTCTTCGATGTTAATGTCAGGAATACGTATGAAATGAGAATGATAATATATTATAACCTCACAGAGCCTACCTGAGAAGGCCTTATGTACAGAGTATACCACCCCAACTTAGTATCTACTTTCTGATATACATCTAACCTTTTGATAATCCCAATGGAACTAGCTGTCTAACCATAAGCCCGTATCTCAAGAAAATATAAGATTGTAGACAATAGGCAAATTTCTTCACACACCTTCAGTTCCGTTAGATAGCTCATGCCCTTGCATATTTGCCAGGCAAAGGTGAGCATCATCTTCACATTGACGGGCTCAACGCCGTCGCTGAAGTCGACGCCGGCGCACTCGATTTTCCTGCTCAGGCGCAGGTAGCTTCGCAGCGAGCCATAGCGGGCGTATTCGATAATGAGCAGCGGTGCCTCGGAGGATTGGGTGCAGGCGCCCAGCAGCTTGATGACATTCGGATGGGAGACCTCCTGCAGCAGCTGGAATTCAGAGAGCAGGGCCATGTACTCCACCGAATTGGCGCCCTTTTTGAGCATCTTGACGGCGACGGTGGTGACGCCTGGCAGCCCCGCGATCTGTGTGGCATATCCTTTGAGCACCTGTCCAAATTCGCCCTCGCCCAGGACCGTATCCAATCTCAGTTGATCCCGCGGAAATTCCCATTTGGCATCGCCGCTCTCGAACTTGAAGCCCGTCTGCAGTGGCATCAGCGGCAAATCCCCTTCGCCACCCAGACCCTCTAGGCTGGGCGGCAGGGCTACCTTGGTGGCCGGCGTGGTGGACTGTTTGCCGTTGCGTCGCTGCCAGAGCTTGCGCTGCGARAAGAGCAGGCAGAGCAGCAGCAGCACAAAGATCAGCGGGCAGCTGACGACCAGCAGCAGGCAGAAGCGATTGCACTCCATGCCCGCCACATGGAGCACGCCCAGTGCTAGGACAGCATCCTGGTCGGGCTGCTGGGCTCCAGTCGCCGCAGGCGCCATGCTGACCTGTTCCACTTCTGCTTCATTCTTTCGCTTGCGCTGGCGACGCGCCCTCGCTTCTTCCTCGTCGGGCAGCGGAGCACAGCTGCACTTGCCGTTGTCCTCGCAGAGGCAGGTGCCCGAGCCACTCAGTATGCCACGGCCATTCTCATTGCTGGTATGCGGACCCACAATGCGGGAGGCCGGCGTGCAGTCCTGCGGACAGGCGTGTGGATTGAGCTCCTCGAGTGCATCGCACACATGATCCGGACAGTAGCGTGCATCCGGCACGCAGGAGCCGTAGTTGCGTCCAAACAGAGCCGAGCTGGAGCCGCGCCAGACACACGGCCCCCCGTTGGTGGCCAGGCCGCAGAATTTGACGCACTGCGTCCGGTACTTGACCTGGGCGCAGGTCTGTGAACGGGACTTCAACCTCAGCTCGCAATTGGCATTCTCCGGTCTGCCCTCCACCAGGTGCACGTTAATGACAAACGCATGCGACTGCTTCTCGGCGTCCTGCCAGGTGACATTCAAAAAGTAAACCGTCTCCGGCGCATGCTCCAGCGCCAGGGCGTCCTTCACATACACTATGCCAGCCACTTCGGTCAGGCCAAAGGCGCCGCTGCGATCCTCAGCCAAGGCGAAACGCCAGCCACGCATGCGATGCAGCTCCACAAAGCCATCCGGCTGCGCCACACGATAGAAGGAGGCGGCTGCCCGATGCACAAACACATCCTTCTCATAGTCAACGCTCAGGCGACGATGTCGACCCGAGTCCGTATGCATTACATCGCCGGCGCTGCCAAAGATCCGCTGCTGACGCACACGCAAGGGCAAGGCCTGCGGTGGCTCCTGATCGCTCTCGTGCAGCCGGTTGATGTCCACGTGCAGGCAGATGTGCGCCGTCGCCGTGTTCGCCACATTGCGCGCCTGGATGGTCAAGTCCCGGGCCTGCAAATCGATGCAGTACGGCTCCTGGCGCAGCACTCCGTCGCGGGCAAAGCGCAGCTCTGCAGGAAGGAGAATCGAGTGGGTTTCAGTTAGAAATCAATCGGAAAATTTGTGATACTGAATATAAAAACCTCTGCCACTGGATTATTTAAGTACTAAATTTTCTATTGCTAGAAGTTAAATGTAAAAAGATTTAAATATCAACGTTTACCTTTAGTAATAGCTCATCTGATCTTATCTATATTGTAATATTCTTGAGTTTACTTCAATGCAAAGTCTTTTGGATAAACTATTAGTACTATTATATTATGTAGTTTGAAAAAAAAAATGTTCCTTGGCTTAATCTAGTTTCTTACAGAAATTAAAAAATTAATATATATACTAATTTGAGCTTCCGAAATAAATAACTATTAAAATATAGAATATAGACTATCAGAAATTCAAAATTATGTTTGATTCATTCATATTTTATTTATTTATTTTTTTGTAATTTATTTATTTTTTAGTGTTTTACTTGAATAACGTGGGCTTCATTTCTGTAATAAACTAATACGAAGCAAATGTTTTTATTTAACTGTCATACTCTAATTCCCTATAAATACATATCCTTATATATGCCATGTCCCGGAATATGTCAAAATCAATCATTCATGCATATATCATTCTAATTCTTCTTAGTCCTACGACACTTACGACAACTGATGATGGTGTGCGGCCTGCCTGTGTGATCCGCCTCGTAGGCGTGGCAATCCGGCTTTATGAGCTCCAGTTTGTCATTGAGTATGGCATAGTTGAGATGTGCATTGGCCGCCAACGTGTCCTTGTCCAAGTAGATGATTTTCTCGCCCACCGGCTCAGCCTGCAATTGAAGAACGGAGAAGCAAGGTGGCCTCAGCTTCATTAGCATTCGCATTAACTGACCAGCGATAATTAAATGCTACGTGGACCACTCCCAGTGACCTCCGCCACAAATTGTGTGCACTCTGCTCTCCAAGGAGCTGGGCGCTCGGACTGCTTCATTAGCATTTTGTTTCGTTACTGCGCACAAGGTCAGCGAATGGTGCCAAGCGGCGGGGGCCTAGGGGGCGGAGGCGCAGTTAACACCTAGGGGAGCTGACATTAGCTGCGGCATTACTAGGAACTGGAAATGGCTCCCTAGCGACTGCATAGGTAACCTGCTTAAGTGTAGTGAAGTAAAGTATCAAGAGAGGCTTGGGTGCTAGATCGAAATGGGTCTGAAGTGTTTTGCTTAGGGTAGGGTCTAGGGAGATTAATAACTGTAGCAGTACAAGCAATACCCAATTAAAGGTATTTCGTGAAAATTTGTATGTATAGTGCAGCTCAAAGTTGGGAACTTTGAAAAATTCAACTCCTCAGAACGTTTTTGTCCTTAGAAACTCGCTATCTATATGAAAATTTCATCTTCTTCACGATCTCTCGATCGATCTGTAGATATCTCTCTCACTCTATCTCTCAATAAATCTGTAGGTATCTCACTCACTCTGTCACTTCTCATTTTCTGTTTTTTATCTCTCATTGTGTCTCTCCCGCTGTTTTAATATCTCTCTATCTCTATGTTTTTATCTCGGTCTCTCTCTCTCTCTCTCTCTCTCTCTCTATCTCTAAGCTATTACCTCTGTCTCTCTTTGTTTGTATCTCTCGCTATCGATATATATTTCTGTGTCTTATTTCTATCTCTCTCTCCGTCTCCCTCTTTTTGTGCTCTCTCTCTCCCTCTCTCTCTCTTTTGTGTTTTTCTTCCTAGCAATAGCTAATCACTGTTAAAAATAAATTTATGGCATTAGCTTTATTTTATTGCTAATGGAGGTTCAACAGAAATAAAGAATAAATAAACTAACTAAATAAATTAGAACACAGCTTGAGTCCTCAACTGTTCGATGCATTCGAGCATTCCAAGCACCTGTCAACAATTTCGACAATTACTTCAAATGTCCATCCAAGACACACCCAACTGGGGCCACTTGCCAAGTGCTCTAGACTTGAGCTAAATTTTGTAATGGGCTCAATTTTAGTGACACGTTGCGCGTGTTTCGTTTCGCGTTTTATATATTTAGTTAATGCAGCACTTGTGGCTGAGGATGTGGCGAGCAATTACTTGCAACTAACTAACAACTACATAAATGACATAGTTTTTCAGGCAACTCGGGAATAGGCTTGGCTGCAACATGACAACATAATTTGAAACACAGAGTTTTACTGTGGTGGGGGGTGGAGGGGGCCAACAACTCCTGGCAGTTGGGGCGAGTTTGCGAACTCGCTTTAACTTTCACGCGCCAATCATAAAAGTTGGTGAAATGTTACGCGTTTTTAATGATGAGCCACGGAAGTGTGGCCCCAGACTTCGTAATGGCCAAATAATGGAGCAGCCGGGGTGGGTCGAGTTTGGGTTTGCGTGTCTCGGGTTCGTTTATCAAGCGCGAATTCAATAAAGCCCGCGCCCACACACATAGAGCAGACAGCGTCCAGACGCTTTGTCTGGCTCGCGTCTTGGCACTTACCGCCTTAAAGTAGGGCTGCTTCACGTGGAAGTTAAAGTGTGGCTGGCGCTCCTGCAGCTGCGGCCCATTGTCGTTGCGATCCAGCAGCGTTATATTGTAGCTGCGCCAGAACTGTCGCTGCTCCCGGCTGGTTAGGCTCACCGTGCAGCCCACCGTGGCCAGCAGCTGGCCGGCTCGCGCCTGCAGCCCGATCAGCTCATCGTGGTCGAGCGGCTGGCGGCTGTACAAGCGATTCTGTTTGAGCACAAAGTGGGAGCTGCCCGCTGTCAGCGCATACTCCACAGTGCGATAGGGGCACAGATATTTGGCAGCTCTCGAGTTCAGGGCGCCAATCAGCACGGGCTCAAAGCTACGGCTGCGGCTGCTGCTGCTCAGGCTCGTCTCGGCAATGGCATAATCGGCGCTCGTCCAGAAGCAAATGTGCTCCAGCTCGGCACAGTAGTCGCTCTGGTTTTGCGGCTGCAGCTCCAGCGTGAGGTGGGGCACCTGCTGCAGCAGCTGCTCCGGCTGCTCCATGGCCGCATGCTCCTCCTGGCTGCGTGGAAAGGCGGTCAGCACATATTTCACACTGCCATTGACCATTTGATAGTCGCTGCGCATGAAAACCTCGCCGGAGCTGGCATTGAGGCGCAGCAGCGGATTCTGCTCCAGATTGTAGATATAGTCCGTCGCCGGCTGATTGTTGTCCAGGCGCAGCACTTGAAACTGTGCCAAGGGTATCTTCGAGAAGATGCTCTCCGACTCCTCATTGATGGGCAGCTTCAATTTCACGGAAGTGGTGGGAAAATAAACATCGAGGGCTGAGAAAAAGGCAATAAAAGAACAGAAATGGAGACAAATATTATAAGAAATCTGCTGATTGAATGCACTCAGAGAAAATGCGAGGGCGTACATATATTTATAAATATTACAGTAGCATTCGGTTATAACGACACTCAAGGGACCCAGAAGGCGTTATAACCGTATAAGTTTGCTCTGGTCATGGGGACTAGAATTTTCGTCGCAATAACCGTACAGACGCTATAAGCGGAGTCGTAAGAATAATATGAATTTTTTATCAATTGAACTTTAAATTGATAAATAAGACAAAAATTCTCTAAATCAAATTACAGTCAGAAATGGCTCAAATTCATTTCTATATAAATAATTTTAATTTTATTTTTGGTCAGTTCTTTTTCCTTTTCTCCTCTGCTTATTTTAAAAATATATTTAAATCAATTTATTTCCACTTAATGAAATTCAGGTTCTATTCCCATTTCACTTTCATTTCTCTAGTGCAGAACATTTCTCGCAGTGCTTCAAGTCCTGTGATTGGGTCAAACAAATGAATTGTGCTCAGAGTGTGTCGTCCATAAGTGGTATTTAACTGAGGGACGCTCCGCCATAGCCACAGCCACAGCCACAGCCACAGCGCCCCCTTCCTTAACACTCATCAAGTGCAACCCCCGCTTTATTTGCGTTGGGCTCACCCCATTGAGAAACCCATCAAGAGATTTCGAGTATTTACCCATTATGCTCATCAACAGACTCATAAAAATTATGAATGTAGTTTAATAAGCTCGCTTTGACCTCAATTTGAGTGGAGTCAAATGCAGCAGGAGGCAGAGCAAGGCTTTAAAAAAAATCCAACCCAATTCAATGCGCACCACACGGCGTATGCGTAATTCGATAAGATTTAGCTTGCTAATGACGCGCTTTGCTGTTGCTATTGTTGTTGTTGTTGTTGTTGTTGTTGATATTATTGTTTGGTCGTGTGCTTGCATACGCTCAACTCCAATACAAGCCATAAATAAATATAATACACAGATATTAGTTATTAGCATATGGTTTATCGAAGCGTACCCACACAACAAACTCCCTCAGCCCCTCCCCTCCGTCCGTGGCTAGTGTCAGCGTCATCGCGTATTGATTTTATGATAACAGCCACAGAAGATAAACAAACAAATATTATAGATGTGACAAAAAACTACATAATTTGGCTAGCGGAAAAATACAATGCAATGCTTAATTGGTAACAAAGGTTTAGCTCAAATATAATTTGGAGCAATTCGTGGGGGGAGGTGGAAGGTACTTTTGTGAAGGGTAAACGCGCAAGGGGTGCTCGTAAGGGGCGTGAAATGGGAACTGTAAATGAAATGAGAAGTGTAATAAATTAATAAAATCTATGAGACATTTCCTTACACACTCCCCCTCCTCCACAAATCTCAATTTGTGACCTCCTTTTACATATTCACTTTTCTCAATAAATATCAAACTCTTAAGTACGTAATATATCTATTTGCAGCTCCTTTGATTACTCTGAGTCCAGCACCAAGCACTTTGTCATGTTCCCGCACTGGCGCCATCTTATGCTCCGCATTTGGTATTATGTCCACACACACACACACACACACACTCCTCTCCACTCTCCACGCTCAACTACTTTCGCACATAATTCGATTCCGTTTTCTCCCCTCACCATTTCACTAAAAAAAGAATAAATGCTCGCTGAATTAATTTTGTTTTCTTTGCCCTTTTTAAAGAGCGCCAAGGACACGTATACACAAAATAGTGAGTGGCGTCAGGGCTCCCCCTTGCCCCTTAGAATGTCATTAGAAATGCCCGTCTGTGAGTTGTCGCTGCTCCAACATAACACACGCGACGCATCTACATATTTCATCAGCATATTTCGCATGCCTCAGCGCCAGAGCAATTGTAATGAATACGTTCATAATTTATCACACTCATGTACATGGTAAACGACAGCCCTATGTGGGAACTCGCCGGGTTTACCAGGGTACGAGAGCATGATTATATATTTAGTGGATTTCCTATGTGGTAGCTGCATAGCTTTATTTCGCATTGATTTGAGTAATGCTCTAGCAGAGAGTGTGCGAGGTTTACAATGGGATAAACACTAGATAGACACTAGATATGTCCTAAAGATGATCAGGAAGAAAAGCGGGAGTATAGAAAGAAGAGAAAAACATAGAGAGAAGTAGAAAAATTTTTAGTTATCTTTCAGTTCATCTGAGTCTTTTACTTTCTTTCTTGATTCTCTTATACTTTTCTCATTCTTCAACTCATAAAATTATTTTGAGTTATTTTCCAGGGTATTCCCTTGTCGTACCGCAACAGTTAACAATGGGTATATGCTCATAATTATGACAGGTATTTAGTTAGCGAGCATTTGAAACATCCAATTAGCAGCAATGTCTTTGTTTGCATAGCCCTCGAAATGGTTTGTTTATGGTTAGCCTCGCTTATGTCTCTGCCAGTTATGGAAAGTAATTCGGCCAAAGTTTGAGCTGGGTAGCACAGCGAATGTGTTCAATAATTTATGCGTAACAAACAAGAAATTAGAAAGGTTTCGCGCATCTTGAATGCTAATTAATGAGCTATCAGAGCGTGTGATAAATGAACAGAACTGCTAAAACTGCCAAAAATAAATAACTAAATATTTGCTAAATTCTAGAAAATCATGAAATAACATGTTAATCCCATGTCAATTCACTTAACTTATGTAGTTAGCATTACCAAACCACTAGAATACTTGTAGCTCCTAAGAGACTCAGCTCAACTGATTCGCCGTAATCCAAAAAGTAATCTCCTTGGTATTCAAATTCCAAGCAGGTATTCCGTCTTTAATCCACAAAAAGCAACTTAAACTTTGCTTGGGTATAAAAGGAATAAAAAAGGAATCTCGCAATCAAGCCCTGGGGAGGTGTCACAGACCTTAGGCCAAAAGTCAACAGCCATTAAATGGTGGTGGCCAGGCGGCAGAAGACGTCGGGCCAAGCCGGACTATCTATTAGAAGGACAATTAAAAGCAGCGAATGGCGCATTAAAAACTCAACTAAGGGTAGATAACAGACGCAGGCTTTGGGTGAGCGGGCGGACGAACGAGTCGGATTGGACACGCTAATGACAGCCGGAGTCAACAAATGTCAAATGTGTTGGCCATTACGGCTCGTACCTGAACTTGGCCGGAATGGGTAAACGTTTAGTGTGCTGAGGGGGGCGGGTGGCAGCGGTGTTCCGGGTAACAGGAGACTAAAAATTGTAATTGAGGTGCGGCACGGCGATGTCAACTAGTTTCGACTTAACTAATTAATCTGCTCAAATTAATTGACTTTGCATCGAATTAGGTCGTTCGCTTGTTTGCTTGCCCCGATTCCCCCTCTCTCTATCATTATATTTTCGCTGTTTACAGTGCGCGCCTGCAGCTCCCCAACCTGTCTGCACCCAGGATGCGTTGTCCTTTTCCAGCCGTGAGTCATTTGCTCGCAAAAATTTCCACACAGCATCCGAACATTAGTTTTTATTTTCATTTCCTCGTTTTTTTCGCTCTCTCTCTCTCCTCTCTGGTTTTATGTCTGCGTAATGAAAACTTTATCTTTGTCACAGTTGTGTTTTTCTCTGCGTGTGTGTCAAATGTTTTTCCCTTGAATTGTGCTCGCATACCTCTTAAATATGCCTGGCGGGGTATGCTGGTTGGACTAAATTCGTATTGTAAGATAAAAACTTTTATTATCAGCTGACAAATTAAATAGTTTCATTAGCTCTACATTCAGCTGCCACTCTTTAGAGGATATCTTCAAGTCGATCATATTTTGTCAGCTTTCTCTCGCTTTATCTTTGCTTCATTACTCATACGACCCCTGCAACAGTTTCTTTTCAGCTTCTGTTTAGTTTGGCATTCGCTGTTGCCGCCTTTGGCTTTGGCTTTGTCTCTGGATTTGGCTTCTTTTGGCTGGCTTATTGTCTTCTTCTTGGCTTTAGTTGTTGCCACATTATGAAATTCGTTTCGTTTTGTCTGCGCACACTTACAAATCCATCTGCTCTTATGATAACCTCTGATATGTGTGGAGCGGGTGTGTCGTCCAATTGCTTCGCTTGTTTCTGCTGGTTTGCCCTCGTCTGTCCGATGGCTCAAATCGTATAAGAAGTCAGCAGACCGTGCAGACTATAATCGATTATTAAAGTATGTTTCACTTGAGGCTGTAGTCACGCTAGACTAGAAAATGAGGAGTCTAAGTTGCTATCTTGCAAGTTAACAGAGCTCTATATATAGGGATATACTATATTATCTGTAATTTCGTATATATTCAGTCCACGGATATCGAAAGCAAATATACATACATAGATAACCTAAGGAAATATTTCAATATTTTTAGAATATTATAATATTCGTACATAATAATTTTAACCCATATTAGGATTAGATGGAATATTGAATTAATAATTTGTTTTTGTGGGCATCAAGTATATAGTACAGTCGAGTTTCGATAATTTATACCCCGCTAAATCGTGATTAATCGAAAAAATGCGTTCTCAATAATTCTCGATATTATGCATTTTTTTATAAAGGGAGTTATCGGAACTCAAGTGTATATGCACATATATAATATCAAAGGTTGACGTTTCACATGTTTGATATGTTTTTTTTTTTTTTTATGAATCTTAAATTCTTATGATCTGATCTGCTTTGTGATCATTATACCATATTAAACATTCTTTTGATATAAAATTTTTGTTTAAAAACATATGTGTATATATTAACCATAAATATTCATTGAATATTGTGGCATATATAATTCAAAAAAATATATAATTTATTTACCAATTCCATATTATTCGTATTCGTATATATCCCATTTTAATTTAATTTATTTACCAACTATATACCAACTCTATATTCTCAATAGTATTCCTATATACCCCTTCTAACAAAGCACTTCTAATGAGCATAAGAACTAAATTGATCTGCTTATCGCGACAAAGTCGCACTTGTCGCACTTCCAGAGCTACTCCACTTTGAAGTGCTTCTTATTGAGAACACCAACAGAGCCCCTCAGCAGATAAAAGAGGCGAAACCCATGAACACAAACACAAACATCGGCATCGACTATGCGACAAATGCAAATGAACTTGAAAGAAGTTGTCTATTCATTTCATTCAATATTACAGTATTCAGTATTCAGCCTTTCGTATGCGTGGCATGAATAACTAATAATTCACACATGCTAACGCAGCTGACGCTTCGAATAGGAGCACATTGCTCCTGGCCTACAAAAACAAAGGTGATCGATGGCCCGCCCGCTCACTAATTGTCAACTGTCAGCAAAGAGCCGAGCACATTTGTCAAAGTCAAGCGACTCCGCTTAGTAGTTGTTGTTGTCATTGTAATTTCGACTAATTAATGGAGCCTACAATTAGTTAAAATCGTGTCTATCATACTGCGAGCAATTAGTTAAGTATGAAGTATGAAGTTCAAGGTGTCACTATTCAGCTGACAGGCGCTGTAGCTGCTCATGCGAGCATTGATATTCAGCCCAGGAGCAATTGCAGACTGAATGCAACGCTTTATGGAAATCTTGGAGGAATCTAATAAAAGCAACTGAAAATCTTGTCTGCCGCTCGACTATGTTAATGCATTCGTTATGGGGCGTATCTGGGTGCGACAGACTACAGATCTCATAATTGTGCTCAATTTTTATTCTTTTTGACAATCTCAACAAGAATTTATGACCGGGCAATGTGTTCGAGAGAAATAGACCTTGAGTTGGCTCGGCTTGCCTCAGCTTGAAGTGTCTCGGGTTTGATTCGCTGGTTATAATTCAAAAATTTGGCACAACGAAGGGGTTACGTGAGTGAGCTCCGATGTCAGCCGGGAAGCTAGACGGCATGGAATCTGGGTGGGATCGTGCATGAAAGCCTGAGCTACAAATATATGTACATTTATTATAAACAAAAATCTTATACTGGAAAAATTGGAATATTGCATACGAAGTGGGAAAGCTTCTATATTAATGCCACATACAGAAAGCTGAGGGAAACGTGGAAACTAGGTGAAATAATTCAACAAATTTTCATTGCAAAATATTTCTTATGATATTCCCATTTTCTATGGGTTCAGGCTATAAAAATAAATGTGTGTAAAGCTATTTTGCAAGAGATTATAGACACACAAAAATATCAAAATTAGGCCTGAATTTATTGAACTAATATAAAATATATACAT